CTGTATGACCTTGGGCAAGTTACTTAACCTCTCTGAGCCTGAGACAGAAGGGAGCAGTTCAGGCACACTGCTGAGAATAGCACTTGGGAGCATAACACGCGCTCACCTGAAGTTTATCTCTTACTACAATCCCATGTTGGGTTGTCCTGGAAACACCCCATTCCTCCCAACTGGCCATTGCCCCAAGAATAGTTGGGGGGAGGGTGGGACCTTGTAGTCAGGGAGAAGATGGCCTCACTCTTTTTTATGACCTTCAAGGCCCTGCAGGCTTTCCCCTTTTGAGTCTCTCTAACCTCACTCTTCCTTCTTTCCCACTTACTCACTTTCTGCAGCCACAATGGCCTTTTATTCCTCAGACACGTATCATTCTTGACCCAAACAGGGCCTTTGCAGGTGCTGTTCCCCCAGCCTGAGAGTTCTTGGTGTAACTGGCCCTTCCTCACCCTCCAGGCTTTGGCTCAAATGTCCCCCTCTCAGAGAGGCTGGCCCTGACCCTCCGGATTGCTGTCTCTCTCCCCACGGGAATGCAAACAGCAGGCGAGCAGGGCAGTGTTTGTCTCACTCGCTCCTGTGCCACATGTTAGCAAGCACTCAGCGTGATGAATGTTTAGATGACAGCGGAGGTACTTTCCCTGAGACGTGGTTCTAGAAACCCCGGGGAAACCTGTGGGTAGGGAAGAGCCTGGAAGCAGGCCAAGCTGGGTTGGAGCCCCTCGACAACTGTGTGACCTTCCCATCTCTGAGAGTCAGTCTCCTGGTCTGTAGAATGGATAATCATACCTCTCTTGCAAAGCCGTTTCACAGACGGTAATGTAAAAGCACTGAGCATAGTTCCCAGCCACACCTCAGAAACAAGGGCCGTTAGAATCAGGATTCATTCCCTTAAGAACCTAGCCTTGGGACAGGCCTGTTAGGATGCAAAAGCCATCTGGATTGCTGGCAGTGTCTGGCACTAGATGAGAATGAGTTTCTCACATTTCTCTGATTGGTGATGGGTGTTGGGTGGGGGGACAGGTAGAGAAGAAAGGTAAGCCCCTGACACAGGAGGTGAAGAGGAAGCTGGCCTGCGTACTGGCCCTGAGGGTAGCCAGTTCCTCTGAGTGTGTTTCCTCACCATTAGGAGATGGTAGTGAGGATTAGAGGCTTCCCAAGTGGCGTGGTGGTAAAGAATCTGCCTGCCGATGTAGAAGACACAAGGGACATGGGTTTGATCCCTGGGTTGGGAAGATCCCCTGGGGAAAGAAATAGCAACCCATTCCGGCATTCTTGCCTGGAAAATTCCATGGACAGAGGAGCTTATTGGGCTATAGTCCATCGGGTCGCCAAGGGTCAGACGCGACTGAGCACAGCACAGCACAATGAGGATTAGAGATAACACATGCAATGCATGTAAGGCCACTTCTCCCTCTTCTTCCATGGAAGCAAATTTTGTGATTTCTTCCTCTGGTTCCCCCAGGCTGGGAGTGGAGGCTACCGCATAGACCGTCACTGAGGCCAAGCTCAGGACAGCCCAGGCTGCTCTGAGTCCACCCTCTGTCCTGCTCAATTCCCCAAGGGGAGGTTACCCAGACCCCTGCTTCTGCCCCAGCAGGTCCCACCGAGCCAGCTCAGCTGGGCTGTCCTGCTTGGCACAGGGCTGATGGCACTGTGACCCTAGGAGCCTCAGCACGTGTTTCCATGGAGACAGCCCTGCGTGTGTGCCCACAGCCTTGCCACATCCACTTATTTCCAGGAGATTATCCACAGAAAGGAGGGAGCGAGGGTCAGACAGCAGATGTGATGTCCATGGAAGGAGCCTAACCAGGCCCAGCTGCTGTTTGTCTTTTGCAGCGAAAACAGCATGGCATTTCACAGTTAGCAAACACTTTCATCTGGGATGTGTCATTTAATCCTGGCCACAAGCCTGTGAAGCAAGTATTCTTTTCACAGAATGGGGTTGGAGAGAGGCATGTCAGGGATACCTGCTGGGTAGCCCACAGTGATTGCAGTTAGGAGCTCCTGACCTGGGGACCCTACCTGCCCAGCTCAAAGTGAAGGCCTTGTTTCACCTCTGCTGTGCTTTTACGCTCCGTGGTTCCCTGAGAAGGAGGCCTGAGTGACCAAAGCTGGCAGAAAGATGAGGTGCCGGCCTCTGGGCGTAGCCAAGGAGTTGGGGACTAAAAGTGCTAACCATGTGGTTTGAGAAGCCGCGTCTTTCTGGAAGCTGGAGAAGAAAGTGGAGGGTGAGCAGTCTGGAACAGTATGCCCCCTGGGAGAGGATCCACAGGAGAAAAGGCAGGCAGGGGAGCAGGAAGAGCAGTCCTTCGGGATCAGAGCACACAGACAGAGGAGAAACTGAGTCAAGGCTTGGGGCACAGACCCACTCTCTTGCTGGACAGAGATTTCTCTGCCCACAAGAAAGCTGGTTGCCTGGGTGGCCCAGAGTGACGGGCTACCGGGTGGTGGTTGTAGCCTGAAGACAAGGAATCTGGAGTCTGGAGAGTCTGCTCCCCCAGGAAGTTGGAGAGGCGGTCTACACAGCCTTGGAAGGGAGGCCCGGGGGCAGCAAGAGCCAGAGGCCCCACAGTCGGGGTTCAGGGAGCATCGTTGAACCAGAAAGCAGAGAGTCTACAGGGAGAGCAGGGTCTTGTGAGAGCATGGTCTCACCATCCTCAGGACTCTCCTTGGATGTCTCCTGCTGGACCCCAGGTGTGCTCTGCATGTGACCCCTGGCCCCCGTGTGAGCTGAAGCCAGAGTGAGGAATGCATGTGGGGAGAGAAGCCCCTCCATCAAGAACTTTTAAAGCACACGTTGTTCCTCGAACAGCACAGGTTTGAACCATGCGGGTTCCACTTATACGTGGAGTTTTTTCACTAAACGCATACAGTACTACCCAATCTGTGGTTGACTGAATCTGAGGATGTGGAACCATGGATCCAGGGGTGACCATAAAGTTACAGGCAGGCTTTCAACTGCGAGGGGGGTTGGGCTCTAACCCCCAAGTTGTGTCAGGGTCAAGTACACCTTTTCCATGCTGGCTGGGAATTCCCGCTTTGATGGCCTGTGCCCTGTCTTCACCAAGGTACACTGCCTCCAGGTGGATACTTTCATGAAACATTTGGAGAGTCTGGGCGCTTTGGAAAGTGGCAACATCAGATGGAGAGCAGTATTAAGGTCTTTGTGGGGTGGACTGGCTCCCTTGAGTCTCCAACCCTCGTCCCCTCATTTTATCCACCCATCGGCATCTCCCAATTTATCAGGGTCTCATGCTTCAGACCCCTAGTGAGAGGCCACATAGAGAAGAGACAGGAGGTGGCCTGAGACTGGTCCGTCTCCCGTGGACCAGCCCAGTGTACCAGACCCACCGTCCTCTGTCAGTTTGCCAGCTCTTGACAAAGCTCTGCCTGAGACCCTGGCGGTGGGGCGGGTTTCCCTACACTGGGCCTGGACTTTGCCATCCACAGTGACTGATGGGGGCTTTCCACAGGGCTCTGGGGACCAGGTGGGAGCCAGCAACCAGCAGCTGCTGCCACACTTCATAAGCCTTGTTGCCCTGGTCTGAGGAGCTGCACCCTGAGTCGCCCTCAGGAACCCTTCCCTGCCCAGGTGGGAGCCGTCCCCGCAGAAGCACCAGCAGCCCAGCTGCCCCCTGTGCCCGCCCTGGGCCACAGGGCCACCCTGCCTTCTCTAGCGCTCAGACCAAGAAAGGAGCCCTTCACATCCAAACGTCCCGCCTCACCTCCCCACATGAGACCTTCAGGGATGGCAAGAAAAAGTTAGCCATGGTTCTTTTCCAGGCCAAGTTTCCAGAGGGGATGGGCTTCTCCCAGGGAGCAGCCAGGACTCTGAGTGCCGGAAGGGCAGAGACTGCCCACAGATGAGGTCCGAGGGGCCCAGAGCTCCATGAGAGAGAGCCCACAGGGGACCCTGCCACGAGCTCTGGGTGCTGGCTTCCTCCCTCAGGCGGTGTCTCCATGCTCGGAGCCTGCCACCCTCCTTTCCTGAGCCTGGCTCCCTGAGAGGCATGTCCAGGCAGGGACTGTGGTGTGCGTCCTCAGGCTTCAGAATTTGGGAGTGGGCTAAGGGTCCCGTGGAAGGGGGGCCTGCGGGCCCAGCCGGGGCTACCTGGTGATGGGGTGGATCAGGTACCCGCAGGGGTGGTGGGGTGTGGAGAGGGGAGGGAGAGGCCTGAGAAAGGTCCCCTGAGGGGCCAGCTGGCACTCGGGTCAGGCTCTGGCAGCCGGGGGAGCTGGGCTCCATGAAAGGCACCCTGGGGTTTAAGCAATGAGGACCTGATGTCTCAGAACAGAATAGATGTGGGGAAATATTTGTCGGGAGGGAGTGCCCCGAGCAGGCTGGCCCCCAGAGTTCTCGTGGCCCCGGGGTTTCTCAGGCGGGGCTCGGGAGACACCTGGTGCTGGCTGCCGGCTTTGCCCCTCATCCACACCCTCCTCCACAGGCTCCCTCACCCCGTGTTTGCCTGTGGTATCCTAGGAACCGGGGCTTTCAGCCTGTGGTCCTGTTACATAACAGCTTCCATCCCGTCGCCGGGTCCAGCACCTCTGGCGAGCAGGAGCTGAAGCAGGCGCCCGGAGGCCAGCCTCTCCCCGGGGACACAGGCGGCTGGCCGCCTGAACCCACAGCTTCTGCCGGTCCCCTGCACCCCGACACGCGGAGTGGGGAATGTAATAAGCTGTCAGCATCTGGTGCATTCCTTCAGCAGGGCCCTCTGGTCCTGTCCCAGTCCCGCGTGAGCCCCTCACCTGTCAGTGGCCACATGCTGGCTGCAGCTTCCCAGGGCTAGCAGGCCTGGGGGGGCAGCCCCGGAGAGGCAGAGGCCCTCCCCACCGTGACCCTCTCTGCACCCCAGCCCTTCCTCACCCGGGGAAGAAGCCAAGGGCAGACCCCTGCTGAGGACCCTCCCTAGCCTGGAGATGCCCATCTGGCCACGATGCCCGCAGCGGCTCCCACCCCTCAGGCACCTGGGCGGCCGGCCATTGCAGGCCACCTCCGCTCCTACCTGTCCTCTTCTCTGGCCAAGGCAAAGAGTGCTCGAGCAGGGACTTGAGGACCTCCGGCATGTCCATGGCAGGGGCCACTCCGATCCGGTCACAGCTCGACATGGCCTGGCGGGAGGTGTTCGCTGGGGGAGTTTAGAAGCAGCTGGAGAGGCAGGCTCCGGCCCAGGGAGAGCCGCAGGCTCTGGAGGCAGGCGGGGCGGGAGCCCGAGGCAGCCAATGGGCAGCACGGGCCCCGGCCCGCCCGTCCACCCCCAGCTCGGCCACCTGCCAGCTCCAGCTGCAGCCAGGCCTTCCCTTCCCGCTGCCTGGCAGGGCGGGCCTGGCCCGGTGCCAGCATCAGCACGTGGAGCCACAGCGCCAATCCTCTGACAGAGAGCCTGGTGTTATCTAACTTTGCAAAGGGAAGTTCTCCCCCAGGCTGGGAGCCAGAGCTGGGCCTGCCAGGTGAGAACAGTGAGCTGGCTGCCCGCCCACAGCAAGCGTGCACCGCACACTCAGGCCCACTCAGCAGAGAAGCTCCAGAGGCCAGGCCCTGAGGGGACCCGCGACCCTGGCCGCAGGCAGCTGGGCACCGAGGATGTACTGTGTTGGCGAGCACAGGCCCACGAGTGGGCGTCATGCACTTACCTGTGAGCTTGTGAATCTCGAGGGGGTGTTGGCGTGTTGCAATGCTAGTCTATAGGCTGTGTACATGCACACGTGCCCTGCAAGGCACATGATATGTGTGTGGCATGGGTAATTGGGGCTTTACGCTATCTGCAGAGCCTGAAGCCTGCTTTTCTAAGGGGAGGGACAAATCTGCAGCCTGAGATCCCTTTGGCCTTCGGGGACAGAGGGGAAGGGGAGATGAGGCAGGTGCCCAGCAGACAGGTACTGGCAGGCAGGCAGAGTAGGCGCCACTGAAGGGGAGCGGCCCTGCAGACTGGCTCAGGCTCTTCCTGGGACACCGTCCTGCTTCTCAGCCTCTGCCCCAGCCTGGGGGCCTGGGAGCAATTGGCTGTTTGCCACAGTCCCCTCCCTGGCCCTCTCACCAGGACACTGGCCTCTGTGGTCCCTGGGCCACTTACTTGAATGTGAGGTTGAAGCCATGATTCTGTATGGCAGTCTCCACAAAGACCGATGCCAGCCTTGCTGGAGCAGGGGAGGTGGGGTGGGGGGTCATCGGACTCCTCCCCTCCACACACTGATGTAGCATCTTGAACAAGCTGTGCTGCTCTTTGGAGTCTCAGCTCCAAAAACACCAAATGTGGCGACCTTCATGGCTCCTTTCAGCTCTGGTTCTGTCTCTGACACTACCGTTTGGGTGCAATAAGCCTTTGGTTCCCTGCACTTGTAGCTGATTTCTATGTCATCTTTCCCCACTTTCCAAAATCCCATTTTGCCCAAGCAGCAGATATGTCAGGATGCCCTTGAGCCTCTCCTTTTCCCAGCAGCCCCCAGCTTATTCCCCAATTACCCTGTTTTCCACCCCAACGTGTGCGTGCATGCATGGTACTCATTTGTGTCCAACTCTCGTGACTCCGTGGACTGTAGTCTGCCAGGCTCCTCTGTCCATGGGATTTCCCAGGCAAGAGTACTGGATTGGGTTGCCATTTCCTCCTCCAGGGGATCTTCCTGATCCAGCACATCTCCTGTGCTGGCGGATTCTTTACTGCTGAGCCACTGGGAAGCCGTTTCCACCCTAATAGCCCTCCCCAAACCATTTATTCTTTTCCCAAGTTAAAAATTAATTTCCATTATTGAATACGAAAAACAGTATGTGGCTCAAAGCTTTTGATAAAGGTGCACTTCAGGAATCTCATTTCCATCCCTGTTCCCCTTCCTCATAACAGATTTAATTTCTTATTTATCCTCCCAGTTCCGTTTGCCTCTGTGACCCCGGAGGGGTGGGGTGAAGAATGTGGAGGACCTGGTGTGCAGGTTGCCTCAGTTTGACCTGTGACTCGCAGGCTGGGGCTGGGGCTAAGTCAGTGCATTAACCGTCTCTTGGCCCACGAACACTTTCATGTGCCAGACTGGCTTTATCCCCCCAACAGTGAGTGGGCAGGTGCCCACAGAGTGTGATTTGGGAAGCAGCAGGAAGTCCCTATGTGTCTCAAATGTGCCCGCCTGCTGCATGTTATTTCATTCTCGGAAGTTCGCTCCTGTCAGACCCCTTCCAATGCACGAATGTGTGAAGCTTCTAAGACTGTGAATGATTGCTCACTGCATACCTGGCACCAGCGTAGATCTTGTAAGGAATTCAGAGCTAAATAACAGACCGGGCCAGGCAAGGTCCTGCCCTTAGGGAATTTTCATTTCATGGAAAGTCAGTCCACGTGGCACCCCCACTCACAGCCAGGGTGTCCAGATGGCAGCATCAACCACGGCTCACACAGGGGCCGCATCAGCAGGATGCTGGGTCAAGCGGCTGGGGGGGGGGGCGGGCAGAGGCAGGGGAGGGGCAGCACACGGAAACCTGGACATGAGGGGCCCTCATGGCAGGCATGCTGGGATCTCCTGGGTCCTGGCATGCCTTGGGTCTCCTGGCTCAGAGGTCTGGTGGCTGTCTGGTGGGGGCTGTATGTGCATGCCTTTTGGGCAGAGTCCCCTAGGTGCCCAGGCAGCCTCTCATAATCAGCTTCCCCAGAGGCAGGAAGGAGGAGTTGAGGAATCGTGGTGATGGCGGTATGCACGGTGGGCCCTAATCACAGGACCAAAGGCCAGAAATGGGCCTACATTCAATATCTGGATTAGTTAGCTCAAGCCAGCTCGGGCACCTTGATGAATGAAGCCACTGACCATAAATATCTAGGTTACATTCTAGGTTACATGTCACACGTGGAGATGCACGTGTGAAATGCAACCAAGAAAAGGGAAGATGCAGAGCAATAAGTACACATTGATTACAATGATCTAACATTTTTAAGGCTCAAGTCCAGGCTCACCTCCCCCCAGGAGCCCTCCCCAGCTCCCCAGCGTGGACGTGGTATCTTCCGTGGCACCTGGTGTCTCCCACAACTGTGTCTGTCACATCATCCTACACTTGTCCCTACAGGCCCATCTCTCCCCACAGACTGGATTCCCGGAAGGCCACATTTTGTCTATCATCTTGTATCTGTAAGATCTGAGATGGGACAAGTGTTCAGCTAATATCTACCAACCTGAGCTAAGAGAGAACTGGATGAGAATTTAGGGGAATTTATGAGAATTTAAGAATTTAGTCCACTAGGTTCACTGAAGTACTGCTTATCTTATTCTTTGACTTTCTAAGTTTAAGGGAGGTTCTGATGCACATTAACGATCTCTTCAGCCTGAGGACGGGTCTGCATTTTCTCCTGGGAGCTGGGCCTTGCCATACCCCTCTGGTTTTTCACAGTGCAGCCAGGGGTCCTGAGAACCCCAGAACGCCAGTGCTGAAGGGACCTTGCTGATCACCCAGTTGCCACTGGTCCTCCATTTTTTTGGTCTCTTTTGTGAGGGTCCTTGGAACTGTTCACGGAACCTCTGTGAGCTGAGATGTGGACTCCAAATGTGGAGGTTGCTATAGAGACAGACTTGCTGTATCCACGGTGCCTGGAGTGCAGAAGGTGCTCCATCAAGTCAGCTGCTCCTGTTATTCATCTGGTCATTTATCAAGCATCTGAGCCCCTCCTGAGTACTCAGCCCAGAAGATTCCTGTCCTCAGAGGATTCACAGACCTTCGACCTCTGTCCCTGGAGCCACTGCACCCTGTAGTTTGAAATTGTCTGGTGAGAGCTTACTCTCAATTGTATATAGCCGCTCCTGTTAGGACCCCTTCCATCACCTGCAGCCACACACAACCCAGGAGATTCGCAAAAGGGCCTCAGGCAGATACAGGGGTCTCCGACTGAGAATCCCTGATCCGGTCTGCTGTCTCTTAAAGATGAGGAAGCTGGTCCCATGTGACTCAGACCTCCCTCAGGCCCCGAGGAGTCCAGGCTGCAGGCAGGCTCACATCCCAAAGCGCGTCAGAGCCCCTTACCTTTCTGGAATAAGCCACCCCCAGAAAGGGCACAGAGATAGCACTGGGTAAAAGCAGGGAAGTGTGGGTACCGCTGGAGTCGCCACACAGAGGCCACGAGCAGACAGGCTGCAGAAGAGCCAGCAAAGGGTGGCCTGTGGGGCCACTTAAACCGAGCATAGTTTGTCCCCGCCAGCGAGGCCCTGTGTGAGCCGGGGTCAGCCGGGCTGCCCTGTTTGCACGAGGACACAGACCTTCTGCCCCTCACCCCTCGGAATGTATGCCCTGGGTCATGCCCTGTGCCAGCCAGCCAGCCAGCTCCGCCCCACAAGGCCCCCCTGGGACAAGCCTAGGAAGGGAGGAACAGGAGTGACACCTTGGGGGCAGAGGTCAAAGTGCACGTGTTTATTTTCTAGAACAAAGGCTAAAAGAAGCAAGTTTCTTTCAGTTTTATTTTAAGAAGGACAAAAATTGTTATTAAAACATCTACATTATTATCAAGATACTAGACCTTATGAATATTTAATATTAAAGTGTGGTATTCTTAAATTTTTAATACACAGACATTTTTAAAGGACCATTAAGTTGATTACTGCCCACCTGAGAAACGCAGCCTCCCTCCCGGCCCCATCCCTAAGGGACCCTCACATCAGGGGTGCCTGTCCCCCCTTTGCCATATCTGCCATGATGTCTAGTCCCTGCCTGCTGGCAGGGGTGGGGACACAAGCCCGCTCCAACTCTCTGAGCCTCTCGGTCCGGTTCACAACTGAAATAAACACACTCATCATTCAGAGTGCGTGCCTGTCTCCCACCCCCACCTTCTGCTCCCTGCCTGCCTCTGGCTCGCTTCCAACCCCGTGGGGGAATCCAGCTCTGGCCAGGCCAGGGTGCCCCCAACATCCCAGGGGCCTCTGCATGGATAACAGGTTGGAGAAGAAGAAAAATCTGGATTCTAATCCTATTCCTTCAGGTGGGAGACAGACACCAAGTCCTTTTCTTTCCCTGAACACGCATGCTCCCTCCCCACTCAGCTGCGGTGGTCTGGAAGCTCTGAGGCAGAGCTGAGCCCAGGCAGGGACCACTTCTGCCCCTGCTGCCCAAATTACCTGCCCCCCTCACCCCGCTCCAGTCCCTCAGTCCTTGTAAAAGGCTTGCTGACCCTCAAAAGCCCTCCTCATTATGCTAGGATGGCTGCGTTTTCTGGCCAAATGCTTTATCTTTAGCCCTCATTCTTTATCATTAGAAGTGATTCCTCGGATACCACACACATATATAATATTATATAGAGCGATATATTTAATACCTGTGTATATATGCATCACGGGGGCGACATATATACACACTAAAAACAAGGCTGGTGACGACAGACTGCAACGGCACGGATCAGGGAAAACAAGTGTCATCAACATTCACGGCCACGGCCCCCATCTCGGGTCTCTCCTCCCCCTCCAGCCATGCCACCAGCACCCAGACTCCGCGGTGCTGGCCCGCCAGGGGGAGGGGCAGGGAGAGGAAAGATGCATGCCACAATTATCAGGAAGAGGTCGGGCAGTGGCGGCGAGAACGGGGTTCTCCGCAGCCCAGGGTGCCCGTCATCATATCGTCGCACACTCGAAATTCTTGTTTGAGGGGAAATAAAGGGTATTCCGTTCTCTCTGTCTCACCCCCCACCCCCCACCACTGACTCCAGCCTTGGTCCCCGGCTCCTTCCGGGGGACCCCACCTCTTGTGCCAATGGTGTGGGGAGTTCTGGAATGTCTAGGGAACCGGGGGAGGATGGGTCTGCCCACAGCGGGGTGGGATGGAGAGGAGGGGTTGCACGCAGACATATCAGACAGGAGGGATGGGAGAGGGCTTGGTGGGGTGGGGGGGCAGGTGGGAGTTGGGGGTCAGCTGGGGTCCCAGGCAGCTGGCAGGGCCAGGATTAGGGAGCGGCTGGGATGGACGGTCCTATCTGTATGTCTGGGTCGAGGGGAGAAGGTGGAAGGACTCTGCTGAGTCCCTAAGAAAGAGGGGCTGTGTCCGATCCTGCTGCAGCCCATGGTGCCCACAGTCAAGTCTCCCTTCTCCCCACGTCCCATGACTGCCCACCCTCCCTGTCCTCTTCCCCACAGGACCTTCTGCAGAACCTGAGCCCACGTGCGCCCTGCCAGGTACCACCTCTCTGGAGCAGGCCATAGGGGAGTGACCTTCACTGTTACAGTCCTTCCCACCATCCTCAGGGGGAACTGTCCCTCTACAGGGCATGGACATCACCCACCCCTGGGTGGGGCTGCTTGGGATCCCAGCTGCTGATTCAGAGATGCTCACGTCCCTGCCGAGAGCCTGGAGGCTCCAGCTGGTAACGGGCCCTGAGTCTTGTGACCACATGTGCTTCCCAGCTGTGCCGTGCCGTGTGCTGGGGATGCTGGGCAGATCACTCCCCTCTCTTAGGTCTCAGTTTTTCTATCTGCAAAATGGGGGTTGGGGATGTGTTATCTCTGAAGGCTCCGATGACCTAAAATCTACATTCGGTGGCCCACAGAGAAGAAGGGCTGGGCGGATGGCCTGAGCAGAGAGCCAGGCTCCCCAGTCAGGCTGCAGAGACCATGAAGTCGAGCAGCTCCCATTCCTCCAACCAGAGGGGAAACTGAGGCCCCAGAGGGTTAAGTGACCTGTGCAGTGTCTCCAGTCCTGTCCTGGGGCTGGGTTTTAAAGCTAGTTGGGGGCCTCCTGCCCTTGTGTCCTGATCTGCCCCCAGGGCGGGGAGGGGGGGTGGGAGTGGGGCAGGGAGAAGGACCCTCCTGCTGCAGATTCAAGTGGGGGACCCCAGGCTCCCCAGCCCTGAGCATTGGGCCCCCTTGAGGAGCAGACAGAAGTTAAAGCTGTAGGCTGAAGCTGGAGGGGTCAGCCAGACCCCTCCCTCCACAACCAGGAGAGCTGGGGTCGGGGAAGGGAGGCACTGCCCAGGGCTTCGGTAGGATGAGAACCCTGGGACCAAGGGGTAGGGGGGGCGGGCTGCAGCTGTGCACCTGGGTATGCACTGGGGCAGTGGTGGGGGTGGGGGCAGGGAGGATGGATGGGGCCCCAGGGTGGGGGGCTGCCCAATGCCCCCCACCCCCAGCCCTAGCTGGCCCCAGTCCTCCTAACAGGCGCTCTGTTCCCACCCCTGGCCCCTGATCCTAGGACTTCACCCGTGGTTGAGAGTTGGCCTAGTCCCCGGTGCTGGCGGCAGTGGCGGGGGCCTCCGGGGCGGCACCAGGGGTGTTCCCGTCCTCCTGCAGCAGGAAGTTGTATTTGCCGAAGTCGTCGTCCCGCGGGCACAGGAGCATGTCCTTGCGGGCCTTGGCCAGCTTCTGCTTCAGCACCTCACGCCGGTCCAGCCACTCGTTGAGCTCCTCCTGCCCGTGAGCGCAGCGGCACTTGTCCCCGTCTGGGCAGGCCTTGCCCTTCTGGAGCCTGCGGGCAGCAGGAGGCTCACTGCCCAAGCCCCGTGCCCTGGTCTCCACAGGCTGCCCGGCCTGGGGCTGGAAGTCCCCATTCCCTCACCACCCAGCAGGGTCAGCCCCAGGACAGTGGGCCTGGCCCAGCCTTCCTGAGGATCTCACACCGGGAGGAGCGGTCCCTGCCTCCAATGCCGCCATGGTCCTCACGCCAGGAGCGGCTGTTTCTGGACATGCCACCCCCGTCTGCCACCTCCCGGCCAAGCAGAACCAGGCCCTGCCACCCCCGCCCCCCGGCCCAGCCCTTCTCCCGGGGGCACCTGTCACAGAGCCGGAACTCGCCCATGGGGAAGCGGTAGGCCCAGCCGCTGGCGTCACTGTCGGACGTGAACACCTTTTCCTTATGCTTCTCGGACTGGATGTGCTGCTGCCACTGCTTCTTGCTGTTGCTGTTCTTGCCACAGAGCCAGCAGTGGTACCCCATCTGGAAACACGGCCACCGTGGGTGCCCACTCCCTGCCCATCTGCCCAGACCGCTTCCCCAGGGAGACTGAAGCCCTCCCCTCGGCCCTGTCAGGTCAGGCTGGGACCAGCCTGCGGGCGGGAGTTACCATGATGTCGGCGTAGTCCGTGGGCATCTGGATCTGCTTTTCCCCTTCCCGTGAACCAACGGGTGTCCCTTCCCCTGGCTTCCCAGGGTTGTGTTTCTTCAGCCACATGTCATAGGTCTGCTGCATGTCCAGGACTGGTGGGCAACAGGGGATGGAGGGCCTGGTGAGCATGGATCCTGCCTCCACTCTGTCCCACAACCCCCGCAGGACCCCAGCTGTGGGGCTGACTGGTCCACTGGAGACCCAGAGAGGGCATGGCCCAGGGCAGGGTCCTGGCAGCAAAGTGAGGTTCAGTGGGTGCCCTGGGGCCTGCTGAGTGGGGGTGTCAGGGTTAGCCCCGCCCCCCCCCCACCCTGCGCACTCACTCTTGTTCTCCTTCATGAATGTCCACATGTCCCTCTCCTCTGGGCTGTGTGCAAAGGAGCAGTTTCCCACGTACTGGCACTTGCGGCCATTCTGTGCGTGGATGCAGAGCTGTAGGGGGTGCGTGGGGAGAGTCTGCTGAGTCCTGCTGGATGGTGTCATGGTCCCAGCCAGCGGGCAAGCCCTCCTGGGCCCCATGGCCCCACATCCGAAGCCCCGATGCCACCCTTTACCCCACCCTGGTGCTCACATCGTATTGCTGTGGGAAGTTGCGAATGGACGGCAGCGGCCGCACCGACACCCACTTCCTCTTGGCCTTGGACATCACCAGGAGGACCCGCCGCTCCTTGGTCCAGCTGCAGGACACAGCGGGCTGTGTGACCTCCACGGAGAGCCCGGCTTTCTCACCTGTGGCGCTCGCCTCCCCCACTGCCCATGCCCCTGCCTGGAGCCCAGCTCACCAGTGCCGCGCCTTGGCGCTGCAGTACTTGAGGTCCTTGTCGGGCTCCACCACCTGCCCGTTCCTCCAGCACTGGCCACACACAAACTTCATCTGCAGGTCAAAGGTGCTAGGCCCATGGGTCCGCGGGGCACCCTGCTGGCAAGAGGGCTGGTGAAGCCACAGGACCAGGCTGAGGCCCTGGGGTCTGACACACAGGCTGCCTGGAGTCTTGGAGTCAGCAGGTCCATTCCCACTTACTGGTGGGAAGTGAAAGAGGAGTGAAAAAGCTGGCTTAAAACTCAACATTCAAAAACTAAGATCACAGCATCCAGTCCCATCACTTCATGGCAAATAGATGGGGAAATGATGGAAACAGTGACAGACTTTATTTTTGGGGGCTCCAAAAATCACTGCAGATGATGACTGCAGTCATGAAACTAAAAGACACTTGCTTCTTGGAAGAAAAGCTGTGACCAACCTAGACAGCATATTAAAAAGCAGAGACATTACTCTGCCGACAAAGATCCATCTATTCAAAGCTATGGTTTTTCCAGTAGTCATGTGTGGATATGAGAGTTGGACCTTAAGGAAAGCTGAGTGCTGAAGAATTGATGCTTTTGAACTGGGGTGTTGGAGAAGACTCTTGAGAGTTCCTTGGACTGCAAGGAGATCAAACCAATCAATCCTAAAGGAAATCAGTCCTGAATATTCGTTGGAAGGACTGATGCCGGAACTGAAGCTCCAATACTTTGGCCACCTGATGTGAAGAACTGACTCATTGGAAAAGACCCTGATGCTGGGAAAGATTGAAGGCAGGAGAAGGGGACGACAGAGGATGAGATGGCTGGATGGTATCATTGACAGGATGGACGTGAGTTTGAGCAAACTCTGAGAGTTGGTGATGGATAGGGAGGCCTGGCGTGCTGCAGTCCATGGGGTCGCCAAGAGTCAGACATGACTGAGTGACTGGACTGAACTGACCCCCTAACTCCAGCTCCACGGCCTTTCAGTGTGGGGCCAGGCCTGGGACAGGGCTCTGGTCTCCTGAAGGAGTGCTTATCGCCTTATCTGGCTAGTCCCCACGGGCCTGCTCTTTGGAGCTGCTGGCATGTCCCTGGGCATGGTTTGCGACCTCTTAGCTCCCTACTTTTGCACATGCCTGGAATGCCCCTCTCTATCAGGCTTGTTCTGGAAACTTTTGAAATCCAGCTTAAACACCACCTCCTTCAGGAAGCCTTCCCTGAAGTTCTCCTAGGTGGCAGCTGGCCATCCTACTGGCTGCCATAGTACCTGAACCACCTCATGTTGACTGCCTCATCTAGTTACGAGGGCCAGGCCTGGTGGAGAGCAGGGCCTAGAGGGTGGGACTGGAGGAGTCTGCCAGCCTGACTGGGACAGACTTCTGAGCAACCCTGGACTCTTTTTTTTTTAATATTTATTTTTATTTGTTTGTGTCAGGTCTCAGTTGCAGCATGCAGGGTCATCAATCTTGGTTATGGCCTGCGAGATCTTTTAGTTACAGCATATGGGATCAAGTTCCCCAACCAGGGATCGAACCCGGGAACCCCTGAATTGGGAGCATGGAGTCTTAGCCACGGAAGCACTGGGAAATCCCAGCCCTGGACTCTCTGAAGCCCCACCATGTTCCTTCCCATTCCCTGTCTCAGCCTTTCCTTTGCAGGCAGAAGGGCCTGCTCTTCTGCATTCCTGCCTGGGGCAGGGTTGGGGGGCAGGCAAGAGGTGGAAGGTGTGCCCACCAGCTTTGTCTCCTACCACCTGCAACACCTCGCCCAGCTGTGCTGGCCACCCTGCCTGCCCTCCTGTCAGCTAGACCTCCCCACGCTCCCTGGGGCCTCAGATGTGGGGTCACCCCTCCAGGCAGCCCTCTTCTCCTCTCCTGCCATGGGAGGACCCTCTGTCCCTGGCACTGTCTAGACCAGAGCCTCCCCTGAGCAGGAGGGGGCTCTCACTTTGTTGGACTTTTTTTTTTTTTTGGTCATGCCACCCAGTATTTGGGAGCCTAGTTCTCTCAACAGGGATTGAACCCATGTCTCCTATGTCAGAAGTGCAGAGACTTAAGTGCCAGGTTGCCAAGAAAGTCCCTCCTGGGTGTTGACTGACCAGCTTGCTGGGAGACATGCTGCCTGGCCCAGCCCCAGGATAACACACATCCCAACAGCAAGGTAAAAGCCTGCTTTTGTAACCTGGCTAAAGCTACGTGGCAGGCCCCTCTATCCCCACCCTCTAGGCCCTGCTCTCCATCGGGCCTGGCCCTCATAACTAGATGAGTTAGTCAGCATGAGGTGGCTCAGATCCCGTGGCCTGGCTATAGCTGGCAGGTTTACATGTCACCGGTGATTTCGAGACGTCCCATTGATTCCTCACAGAAGTGTGAGAGGGCCATCTCAGAGGTGAGGTAAGTGGAGTCCAGGGGGTGCCGTGGCTTAGCCACTGCTCTAAGGAACAGCCACGCTGGCCCAGGGAGCTTCCTTTTCAGAACTGCAGACTCAGCAGCTTATTGCAGCAGACCTGGGGGTAGGGGTCATTCCCACTGGACTGAGCGGAAGCAGAGGCTCAGAGCAGTCACTAACCCTGCCGTGGGTAAGTGGCCTGAGGACAGAGATCTGGTGTGAGGCAGGTGCCCCCGCTGCCCTGTACAGTGGCACAGCTGCAGCGGGGGCACCAGGCCCGAGCAGCTTCTACCCTGGCATCCTGTCCTTGACCTCAAGCTGCCATTGGCCCCACCTGCTGATGCCAAGTGAGACATCTCATGCCCGGGCCACAGCCAGGCCTGGCACAGAACACCTGTTTCTGAGCCAGGCCCGAGAGTGGCATCTCGGGTGGCAGGATGCAGGGGGGTCAGGGGAACGGCAGTGGCGCAGACTCAGTGTTCTCTCTCTAGCAGATGACACTGCAGGTCCAGCCTGAGTCCTGCACTGCTTCCCAGCCGGGCTTCTGCCCAGGAGCAAAAATAAACCGCGTGGCGGGTAGGGAAGAGGACTAAATGGGAGAGAGGCGGAGGACAGACAACTAGGAAGAGGAGAGAGAAAGAAAAAGGACCAGGAAGGAGCGGGTAGGCCAGGAGAGTGAAAGCCGAGAGGGTCAGCCAGCCTGGCCCAGGCGTACCCCACTGGCCAGCCTGCCCTGCTCCCTGGCTCCCAGCCACACCCAGGCTGGCCTTAAGAGGGGCCTGGGGCCCAGGGTCCTCCCTAGGTGACCAGTGGGTGGGCCAGGAATGGTGAGGGAGTCATCCCCCATGTGACTGTCTCCTGGGCCCTGGGACCACCCCTCTCCCCCCTCTATCGATAGAGTTACAATGACCCCTGCCTCTTGGGGAGGGTGTGAGCTTCAGGGGTGATGGGGTCCCCACACGGAGCAGGGACATGGTCAGCTCCTGTGAGACTCACACCGGCCCTGGAGATGGCAGGCAGGGTTCTGATCCACAGTTTATGAATGAGGGGCCCTCAGGCTGACGGGGATGGAGTGGCTGGGGAGGGAGCAGAGCGGACTCTAGACAAGCCGTCAGAGAACCCGAGACTACCTCTGCTCCTCCTATGCTGCGTGTGCCCTGGGCAAGTCTCTAGCGTGTCCTGAGCCTCAGTCTCCCCTCCTGAAAACACCACCATGCCCCAGCTCATGGCAGGGGACCCGGGTGAGGATCCAGAGGGATAGGAAGTGATATGAGCAGTGGGGGGAAAGGCTGAGGGACACCAGAACATTTACATGGTCTCAGAGGACTTCCAGGAAGACAGTCATTCATTACAAAGGAGGAGAGATTAACTTCACAACAGAGAAAGCTTTCCAGTGGAGGCACCTTTAATCAAGTTACCGGGGAAGGGACAAATGGACATGACATGTCTCCAATCAGACAATCCCAAACAGATGGGCCTTTTACAAAGCATCTGGCTCTTCAAAAATGTCAATGTCAGGACTTCCTTGGTGGTCCAGTGGCTAAAGACCCTGTGCTCCCAATGCAGGGGACCTGGATCCCTAGTCAGGGAACTAGATCCTGTAACTAAAGCCATAACTAAACCCCCAGGTGCCATAACTAAAACCTGGCATAGCCAAATAAATAAAGAATAAATATTTTTTAAAAGTCAATGTCATGAAAGACAAAGACTGAGGAACTGCTCTAGATTAAAGGCAATTAAAGACACACACACACAGAAAGACAATACAGGAATACAATGTGTCGCTGGGATCTGGGGAGTAGTCACAAAAATCTGAATAATAGTACATCACTGGAGGAGGAAACAGCAACCCACTCCAGTGTTCTCACCTGGAGAATTCCATGGACAGAGGAGCCTGGCAGGCTACAGTCCACGGGGTCACAAAGAGTCGGACACGGCTGAGCGACTAAGCACACGTGTACAGTACAGCGCAATCCGGATAATCACCCCAACGTGAATTTGGTGATGTTGGTGACTGTACTGTGGTCATTTTGGAAGACAGTGTCCTTATTTTTACACTAAAGTATTTTGGGGTAACGGGGCATCATGTCTACAACTTACTCTCTAATGGTTCAGAAAAGTGTGTGTTTCTGTAAATAAATGCGTATGTGTGTATGTACACACACACACAGCACAAAGTGAGTGTGGACAGCTATAAAATGTTAACACCTGGGGAATCTAAAAAAAGCTATACACAAATTCTTTGTGCTCTTCTTACAATATTCTGTTAAATAAATGATGACTAGGTAAAGAGATGGGGGCTTCCCTGGTGGCTCAGATGGTAAAGAATCTGCCTGCAATGTGGGAGACCTGGGTTCGATCCCTGGGTCAGGAAGATCCCCCAGAGAAGGGAATGGCAACCCACTCCAGTATTCTTGCCTGGAGAATCCCATGGACAGGGGAACCTGGAGGGCTCTAGTCCATGAGACTGCAGAGAGTCAGACTCTGCATTACGTAAAGATAAACCAAAGGGATGGGGAATGGGGGCTGCCCCTCGTGGGGGCTGACTGCACCCCGTACGCCAGCCCAGGGTCTTACCAAGCTGCTGCTGGCCTTCCCTGTGTGAGCCTCCATCTGCTGCCAGTATTTCTTGGATTCCTGGACGATGTCTTCGTGGGTCATGCCTGGGGAGGGGGGTAGGACAGACATGGCGTCCCTGGAGCTCAGTGGGGAGAGAGGTGGGGGGTCCGAGTTGAGGGGGCCACCCCAGGCCCAGGGAGGAGCCCCACTTCACAGTTAGGCTGGGGAAAGACGAGGGGAGCAGGGACAGCCTGCACGCTTTCTAGGCCCATTAGTTCATCTGCAGCTGGAGATGGAGGCCTGATTCCAGGCGTTATTCCAGGACCCACAGAGAATAAGATTCAGGAGCAAGATGTGGGCTCTGCAGGATGACAGGGGCCTCCCTGTACCCACGCCAGCGTCCCTGTCCCTCCCCTGTCCCCTGCCTCCCTCGGGGCGGGGGGGCCTCAAGTCTGACCCCTGCTCGGTGGCCTCTAGCCCACAGGTTCTTAGGGCTTCATGTCTGGCCCAGCCCAGCTGCCCAGTCACCAAGGGGCCAGGACTTCACTGCCAGTTGGCAAAGGGCAGATACCCAAGCCTGGTGGCCCAGACCCTCACAATCTGACTGTGGACACAGTGCACCTCTGAGGGGCAGCTCACAGCCTCTTCCACGAGGTCCACCCTCCTCCCAACCCCGCTCCGGTCTTCTAGTTCCTTCTGCAGACCCACTTCATTTGCAGTATGGCCCTGTGGATACCGCTTCCCCACGGCGGCTTGCCAGTAGGGGCTTACTCGGCCAGGCATCTGCTTGGCACCCACCTTCTTGCTGCTTGATGAATCTCCAGCCCAGAGCTCTCCTGGGACCTTCCAGACCCCCATATCTGGCTGCCTGCTCAACCTTTCCACCTGAAGTCCAACAGGCAGCTCAGACAGCCCCACATCCCAAACGAGCCTAGATGTGATCCCCCGACATGCTCCTCCCCGTCTCAGCACACGGCGTCCCCACTGGGGTCAACCTGATGCCCTCTTTGTCTCCTACATCATGTCTGGTTCATCAGCTCCCACTGGCTCCACCATCAATACACCCAGGATCCGATCACTTGTACCACCTCCGCCGCTGCCACCTGGACCTGAGCCACACCCCCGGGCCCCCTTCCATCTGCCCTTGGCCCCTCTGTTCTCCACCCAGTAGCTAGAGCGAGTTCTTAAAAACACTGATCAGGTCATACAACTCTACCCGCTCAACCCCTGACCCCCAACCTCTGCACATTATATTTAGAACAATCACAGGTGGCGCTAGTGGTAAAGAACCTGCCTGCCAATACAGGAGACATAAGAGACCGGTGTTTAATCCCTGTCGGGAAGAGCCCCAGGAGGAAGGCATGACAACCCACTCCAGTATTCATGCCTGGGAGAACCCCACAGACAGGAGCTGGCAGGTTATAGTCCATAGAGTCGCAGTCAGACATGACTAAAGCGACTTAGCATGCACACATGTACACAACTATTTCTATCTCTATTTATGATCCTGAGACTTTTTCACCTCTTAGGCCTCATTTCTGACACTGCCCCTCCCCCAGCACGAAGGTGCTCTGCCCTCAGATGTCCTTCCTTCTGTACCAAGCTTGCTCCTACTTCAGGGCTGCCAGCCTTGCTGTTCCCTCTGCCTGGAATGCTCTCTCTGCCCTTCCTTGCTCAAATGCCACCTACTCTGAGAAGCCCTCTCAGACTTCCTAGTCCCAAATACCCCATCCCAAGTCCCTCTCTGTCCTCCTGCTCTGCTTTCCTTTCCTCATGTTATTGATGTACATCTGAAACTCTATCACCCTATTCCATCAACTCTCAGAAGACAAGGCTTGTTAGATGCACCATTATTTTATGTTCCACACACACAACAAAAATGTTGTTAAGTAAATGATGACAGGCAGAAGGGGACAGTATGCCTCCTGGAGCAGAAGGATGGAGGGTCCCTTACCTCCCCGTTCGACCGTCTCCCTTGCTTTCATGTACATCCTAGGGCCCTGAGGCTGGGGCCCTCCACATGCTCACTCAGGACCCTGACAGAGTAGGTGCTCAAGGAATCCCATCAGGTGAGCCAGTGAGCAAGTGAATGGCTTTTAACCTCCTCATCGCTGAGGCGGAGCTGACATCACCGCCTCACAGAGGAGCACTGGGGCTCGATGAGGGGCCGCTGGTGACCAGACCACTCAGGTGGCCCATGGAGCTCGGCCTCCTGGCTCCTCTGCACTGGCTCCCCTGTCAGTGCCCACGCAGGGATAAACCCAGGGTCTTCTGGGCCTGGAAGCCCCCTAATGCAGAGCCTTTGAGTCCTGGGATGTCCAGGAAGTACTGGCTTCTCTGCAGCCCCCCACCACAACATCACTGTCCTCCTCTGAACCCTGCAGTCCTCTCCCTCACCTGAGCCCCCACCTGGATCCTCACCTGAGCCCTCACCTGAGCCCCCACCTGGATCCTCACCTGAGCCCTCCTCACCTCAGTCCCCACCTGAATCCTCACCTCAGTCCCCACCTGAATCCTCACCCAAGCCCTCACCTGAATCCACACCTGAATCCTCACCTGAGCCCCCACCTGAGCCCTCACCTGAATCCTCACCTGAGCCCTCCTCACCTCAGTCCCCACCTGAATCCTCACCTGAGCCCCCACCTGGATCCTCACCTGAGCCCTCCTCACCTGAGCCCCCACCTGAATCCTCACCTCAGTCCCCACCTGAATCCTCACCTGAGCCCTCACCTGAATCCCCACCTGAATCCTCACCTGAGCCCCCACCTGAGCCCTCACCTGAATCCTCACCTGAGCCCCCACCTGAATCCTCACCTGAGCCCCCACCTGAATCCTCACCTGAGCCCTCCTCACCTCAGTCCCCACCTGAATCCTCACCTGAGCCCCCACCTGGATCCTCACCTGAGCCCCCACCTGAATCCTCACCTGAGCCCCCACCTGAATCCTCACCTCAGTCCCCACCTGAATCCTCACCTGAGCCCTCACCTGAATCCCCACCTGAATCCTCACCTGAGCCCCCACCTGAGCCCTCACCTGAATCCTCACCTGAGCCCCCAACTGAATCCTCACCTGAGCCCTCCTCACCTGAGCCCCCACCTGAATCCTCACCTCAGTCCCCACCTGAATCCTCACCTGAGCCCTCACCTGAATCCCCACCTGAATCCTCACCTGAGCCCCCACCTGAGCCCCCACCTGAATCCTCACCTGAGCCCCCAACTGAATCCTCACCTGAGCCCTCCTCACCTCAGTCCCCACCTGAATCTTCACCTCAGTCCCCACCTGAATCCTCACCTGAGCCCTCACCTGAATCCCCACCTGAATCCTCACCTGAGCCCCCACCTGAGCCCCCACCTGAATCCTCACCTGAGCCCCCAACTGAATCCTCACCTGAGCCCTCCTCACCTCAGTCCCCACCTGAATCTTCACCTGAGCCCTCCTCACCTCAGTCCCCACCTGAATCCTCACCTGAGCCCCCACCTGAGCCCTCACCTGAGCCCCCACCTGAGCCCTCACCTGAGCCCTCACCTGAGCCCTCACCTGAGCCCTCACCTGAGCCCCCACCTGAATCCTCACCTGAGCCCCCACCTGAGCCCTCACCTGAGCCCTCACCTCAGTCCCCACCTGAATCCTCACCTGAGCCCTCACCTGAGTACTGCTGCAGGAGCCAGACCTTGAGCTCGATGAAGCTGTGGGCGAAGTGGCAGCTGTCCTCGCGCAGGCAGCCGTATCGCACCTCGTGGCGGCACACGTCGAACTGGAAGTGCTCCTGGAACTGGCGAACCTTGGAGTACTTGAGGGAGGTGGAGCGGACGATGTGCACCAGGCACCTGGCGGGCAGGGTGGGGGGGGCATGATGCAGTCTGCAGCCCCCCATCCCTGGTCGAGGCCCCCTCCCTGGTATCCATGCTGGACACCTGATGAGGGTCTCCTACCCGGGCGCCTCCCCCTATTCACCACTGGCACAGGAGGGAAGGGGCGGGGGTCCTATGCTCGGGCAGGTCTGCTGCGAACCCCAGCGGTGTGCCCCTCTCCCAGCCTCACCCTGGAGACGGCGTAGGACAGAGCTGCCCCAGACCCCCAGAAAGGGCATCTCCCTGGGGTTCCCCAGCTTGATGCCCCAGAGCTGGTTCTGCACCTGGAGGGATGACACCTGAGCATCTCCTCTGGGCTGGGAATTTTAACTACCTTCCCAGTAACCCTGGGAGATAGGGATCAACATCCACTTTATAGATGAGGAAACCAAGGGTCACAGAGGCCAGAGGATATAAAACAGACCAGTGTCCGAGCTGGGGTTTGGACCCAACTCTGATTCCATCAACCCAGACTGGGGCACAGCCAAGAGGAATCAGAGGGAGCATAGGTGGGTGCTGGACCCCACCAGCCTCTCACACTCACTGTCCGATGCCTGTGTCAGGACAGTGGAGGACGCTGGATGGGAGTCAGGGATGTGGCCCTCACCTGCTGTCTGAGTAAGCAGCTTCCGAGCCTCAGCTTTGTCAACTATGTATCAGAGACACTCACTCCTCCACACAGGAGGATTTTAATGACTGCAGAGATCATTAAAATAGGTAAGAAAATGCTTGGACTATAGTAGATGCTCAGTACATGTGATTCTGTCCTTTCCAGGTGGATGCTGGATCTGAGTCTCAAATCCTGCCCCTTGCCTTGACACCCTAGGCCCACCCTATGGCCACAACTGCTCCCCAGGCATCTAAGCTGCCCCAGGGGGACTCTCCACCTGCCCCCTCCCTGATCCAGGTGGTGGGTCTGGCTGTGGGCCTCACTCACTTGTTGTTGTAGAAGCTGTGCTTGGCAGCCAGGTTGGAGCAGACAGACGGAGAGTCCTTGGTGCCTTTGCTGATGATCCGGGGTTTACTGTCAAAGCAGATCTGCCCGGGGAGGGGGTGGGCTGGGACCCAGCATGGCCACCCCAGAGGGACAGACTGGGTCCCTGCAAGCTCTGCCCTGAGTCAGGGTGGTGTGGAAGGGAACCCCAGGGTCTGTGGCCCCCACCTCTCTGACCCCACCGCTCCAAATGCCTGGGGCAGGGATTACTCCTTATCTCTGAGCCTTCCTTTCCTCAGCTGTAACCCAGGGGAAAACCACACCTGCTCTGTCCCATGGGTTCACTGTGAAGCCAAAGAAGGATCTAACGGAACTGTAGGTGCTTTGTGAAGTCTGCAGCCACTAGGCTGCGGACTGTGGTCCCCTGAAGGGAGTGGGAACCCCACCTGCTCTAAGAGTCAGAGGGAAGTGTTGTGCTGTGTGAGGGATGGGGGCTGGCCGAACAGCACCACACTCAGCTGGCAACCCAGACCTAGCGCCCTCACTTCCTGGAGATGGAGCCTGTCCCTGCCCGCATCACATGATGCCTGGTGGGGAGGCAGGGGCCAGCAGGGTCTCCTGTGACAGCTCTGGGGAGGAAATGATCAGCTTGGTGGGGCTTCTGGCATCACCCTTGAGACTCAGAGGGTCCAAGACACAGAAACACAGAGAGGGCACCTCGGGGAGAGGGCCTGGCCTGGACATGGGCAGAGAAGTGGGCAGGAAGGCACCATGGGCACTGAAGCCAGCACAGCTGGATGAGGAAGTGTGGGGGGGCTTAGCATGAGTTCCTAGGACACCTGAGTCGGGCCTATGGTGGCTGGAAGTCAAGAGCCAGGTGTGGTTCCTTCTCTTTCTGGCCTCAGTTTCCACCTCTGCAAAATGAGGGGACTGGATAGGATCTGGGCTCTAGTGCCATAGGGTCCTAGGGGCCTAACTTTCTGACAGTCTCAGGACTTACTCATTGTAAGGGCAGGCCTCCAAAACCCTCAGGTCCCCGGGCTCATCGCCCACCGTGGAGCCTCCCACGGTCTGTGCCCGGACTGGGGAGGGGCTGGTACCTCACAGAGGAAAGTGAAGATGCCCTGGTGCTCCTTGAGGAGCTTGGCGATGGTGAGGCTGCCGCGCTTGACGCCCCCCAGCGGGTCGAAGAGCAGGTCGCGGTTAAGGGTGCCCTTCCGCTCCTCCGTCCACACGTCGATCTCCTCCTGATGGTAGGCGAAGGTGCAGTTATCCCCGTACTTACAGTCCTGCTTGTTAATCATGTCTGCAAAGAGGCAACAGGACACACGTTCCGCCAGGCGGACGGCACCGCAGCGCCCTCGTGGCCACTGCACGGCCGGACGGGCAGTCAGCCACCCAGCGGGGTTTGGGGGAGTTTGCGTTCATCCCCGCTCCTCCACTGCACAGAGCTGCTGTGTATGGGCCAGGAAGATGGCAGGCACAAAGTGGGCTTTGTAGACATGGCGAAAGTGAAAGTGTTAGTCGCTCAGTTGTGTCCGACTCTTTGCAACCCCATGGACTGTAGCCCACCAGGCTCCTCTATCCATGGAATTCTCCAGGCAAGAATACTGGGTTGTCATGCCCTCCTCCAAGGGATCTTCCCAACCTAGGGATCGGGGTCTCTCGCATTGCGGACAGATTCTTTACTGTCTGAACCACCAGGGAAGCCCAGACATATATAAGCCTCTAAATAAACATGGGAGGTTTTATTATTATTAGTAGTAGTAGTAGTCACTAGGAAAATACCACTGGTGACGGAAAGCACAGGCCTTTGGGTCTGGCAGATGTGGGCTGGGGATTCCCTGTTATTCCTGAGCCTCAGCTGTCCGTGAAATGAAAACACGGTTGTTGTAGGAATTAAGTGAAATAATACATAAAATAATAAGTAATGATAGTAAATAAAGTAATCATAAATAAACTCCTGGGGGCCAGGGAGCTGGGAAGGCAGCAGGTTTATAGCCTGGAGACTGGCCATTTCCTGGGAGTGGGAACTGCTTTTCTTTCTTTGTCCCCCTCCCTCACACTCTAAGTCGGCCCTGGCCCCCAGCCAGGCTTACTGGCACACAGGGATGAGCAGGCCGGTGGCCAAGTGACCCCACAGACAGTGGGCTCTGCACTGTGACCAACTCTGCATCCATTGGGGAGCCCTAGGAGGGATGGGTCCCAAGATCTGGGCACTGCTTGAAGGAGGAGCAGAGGATGACCAGGTTCCCAGGATACAACGTGTGCAAAAGAGTCAGGGTTCAGTGTATATGGTGACTGCTAGGGCCAATGGGGGGCTTGTAGGCCTCATGGAATCGGGACTTCCTCCACACTGGCTGGGGCATGACTGGAGGAGAACTTCAAGCTCAGAAATAACAAGTCTTTAAGATCCAGCCGGGGGACTTCCCTGGTGGTCCAGTGGTTAAGAATCCGCCTTTCAATGCAGGAGGTGCAGGTTCGATCCCTGGTCAGGGAACTTAAGATCCCACATGTGGTGGAGCAACTGAACCTGTGGCTATAACTTGAGAGAAAAGCCCACATACTGCAAAGGAAGATCCCGCAACCAAGACCCGACACAGCCAAAAATAAGTAAATATTAAAAAAAATAAAGCTAGCTCTTAAAAGATCCAGCTGGGAAGACAAGCTGATCCAGAAAGGCTGGGTGGGCTACTGCCACAGGCTGGGTTGGGGGACAAAGGTGGAGCCTGGGGCGGGCTCCCAAAGTCTCAGTTTCCTCACTCAGAGTTGTCGTGAGGATGTGTGATGGTGGGAACAAAAGGGTGACACTCTAAAGCTCTGAACACTATTAAGACTGTTCAGGTCTTGCACCCAGATGGCACCCAGACACTTGGTTGGGAAGAAGAAGAAGAAAGCAAATGAGGTACCTGTCGAATATCCACAACATATCAACCTGACATGAGCCAGAAGGGAGGATGATGACAACACACGAATTTTTAAAAGCTAGTGTCTGTCAAGCCCTTACTATGGTCTAGTCTGCAGTGCTTTACATGGTTTCTCTCCACATCCTTCGCATAGCCCTTTGGGGCCCAGCAGTGTATCAGAACTGTCTGACCCTCACACCCAGGAGCTGCTGAGGCCCCAGCTTGAGTGTGACACGCGGAGGCTCTCGTCTGTCTGCAGAGCTGGTGAGGGCCAGAGCTGCTTGTCCTCACGTGGACTCCGTCCTCTCTGGACCACCCCTGTCTGCCTGCCTGCCTGCCTGAGGTGAGGCGCAGAGCCACAGCTGGGCCCTTGGCCATGCCGCCGTCCCTGCGGCGGCCCACCCACCTTTGCACAGGTAATAGGAGCCCACGAAGCTGGTCTTGGTGGGCCGGGGCCGGATGCGCCTCCATGTCTGGTCCTCGGCGCTCCGGAGCCGGCCGAGCAGCATGTCCCTCTTGCACTTGTGCTCAAGGCCCTCGCGGTAGGTGTAGTCGCCCGCTCTGGGGCCTGTGGCGGCAGGGAGGACCAGGACTGTGGTTCCGGAGGCAGAACTGAAGGGGGACGGGGCCACCCCACCCCCCTGCTGCCTAGAAGCCCACTTCCTTCCTCTGGGCCTCCCGCCAGTTCCTTGCCTGTGCTCCCCGTGGACAGGGTGTCGGGGCTGGCCGGAGAATACCCTCCGAGGAGCCCCTTCTCAGCGCCCACCCCCTTTCCACCACTGCCCTGACTCACCAGTCAGAGAGCCTGACCATGTCAGCATCTCCTTGGAACAAATGATGAAGACAGAGCCGGGCAGAGAGCAGGCTCCGTCTCCTTCTTTTCCTGCCCCAGGGAGGTGCAGCCAGCCTTCCTTAGCCTCCCTCCCCTGCTCCTTTTCCTTTTTATCCTTGTCCTCCCAAATCTTCTGACCAAGGGACTCCCCTCCCGCAACAATGGAGTGAGGCGAGTCTCCCCAAAGAGACCAGGAGAACCAAGGTCCCTTGTGGGGACCCACGTGACGTGGCTGGCCAGCACCTGGTGGGCAACAGCTCTGCTTTCCTAGCAGGGGGCCGCGGATCGGGGAGAGGATGCGCTCCGTACAAGGAAAAAACCTCCTTACGGGCACAGACACCCAGTTAGATGGTGTTCTGCCCCCTGGCCCCGCAGGGCCATGGACTTCACAGGATGACTCTGGCAGGCATGACATGAATGTGATGGGGAGGGGGTGGATGACAGCAACAGAGGACCTCTGAAGTCCTGTCAACTCCAGTCCCTCTGAGATGGAGATTTCCAGGCTGGGAAGATTTGTAACCCTGAGATACCCAGAGAATACTATTCTGAAACATCAGGACTGTGGAATTCTAGAAGGTGAAATGATGTGAGTCTAGAAATCTGAAATTCTAGGTGTGTTGAAAATTGTTTACCAATGCCAGGCACCTATCTGGAATTGCTCCTACAGTCTCCTTTGGGTTTGGGGGTGGGGAGCCCAGGAAATAACCTTTTCCAAGTTCCTCTGTCCCTTAGATTCTAGGCAAGGTTTGAATTCACCCAGTGAGAGGTAGATGGAAAGGTGAATGTGGACAGGGATGCAGGCTGCACTTTCTCAGCAGATATGTTTGCGGCAGCTAGTTAGACCCTGCCTTCCACAGCCAGGAGCCGGCCTCTGGGCTGTGGGGTAGACGTGATACTGGCTGGCAGCCCCCTGAGTGGGGAGCTCTGTGTAAGCTGCGTACCCCGCTTCTGGGCCTCAGCTTGTGGAAAAGTAGACCACAGGCCCGATGGTGTCTCCTGGCTTCCACTCCTCCAGCCTTTCTGGCAGTTTTGAAAGTCCTGCCCCCCCTGACATCCCGAGCTGCTCTAAATAGCCAGCAGGGCTTCTGTCTTCCCAGACTTCTCTCTGATGGGTGCACTGGGCTTCTGTCATTCTGGGATTCTACGCTCCTGAGATCCCTGGCATCTCTGGGCAGAGGGGCGGAGCACAGAGGTGTGGCCTTACCTGTTTTGGGGTAGCAGAGCTGACAGGCCTGCTTAAACTCGTGGGTGGCAGCCAAAGGGTTCTTGATGAGCAAGGCGGTGTTGGGCATGGAAGGCTCTGGCTGTAACAGGAGGAGATTGACCATTTTAGGTGCTGGACGGTGGCCAGAGCCACCAGGGCCAGCCTGGGCACCAGAAGTGTGACACTCCCCCCCAACCCCACCCAAGTGCCAAACCGCAGCCCGGGACTCTCCTTCTTCCCCCAGCCTCCCAGACGGGGAGGTCCTTGTTACATGATCCAAGAATCCAACAGGGCTACTTCAGCCTAGTCGAGGTGCCTGGTGACAATGACCTTGGCCCAGAACCTTTCCTTGAGTCAAAGTCCAATGTGAATGGAGTGAAACAGGAGTGGCCCTGACTGGGGCCTAAGGCCAGCCCGCCACCCCCCACCCAACCCATCCTCTCTCCCAAGCCCCCACGGCCTCATTAGATGGGAGGAAGGCAAAACTCAGAGAGGTTGGGTGGCTTCCCCAGGGCCACACAGCTACTGTCTTGGCTGAGGCCAGAGTCCAGGTACTTGAGACCTGGACAGATGCTCTCCTCAACTCACACCTGTCTGAATCCTGAGATCAGGGATGTTAATGATCCTGGAGAGATCACTCAACCCTCTGAGCCTCGATGCCCTCTCTGGTCAGAAAAGCAAGGGCCAAGCCCTCTACTTGCTCCCAGCATGCCATCAGGCCAGGAAGGGTCTGGAAGGGCTGGGAAGAAACCATATCTGGCCCTCCTGCTCGAGAGATGCTGTACCTTATTCCACGTTGAGGGCTCACCCCTACTCTGGAGCCCACAGCGCTTTGCCTCCACCCCCCAGAGAACACGAGGTACCTGGGCACCCATCCTCGCTGAGTCACTCACCGAGGGGGCTGGCTTCTGAGTACCGCTCGAGGGACGATGGTCCTGTGAGTTGCCGTCCTCTGGGCGAGAAGACGCAGGGGTCACCTGCCCTGAGGGGTGTAAGGGGCCCTCTGTATTTCTGTATTTCTCGTCTCTATTTCTAACTTGGAGAAGCCACCCAGGCCACACATGCTCTCCTATGTAGGCCATTGCATGGGGACAGAGAAGCCTCCCTGCTCGGGCACGTCTACCCACTGCTTACACCTTCTATGCCCTGATGGCCCCCCGGGAGGAAGCCTGAGCTCCTCAGCTTGGCTCATGGTCCTCTGAGACCAGCCTCAGGCCTTCAAGGCCCCCCAACCTGCCCACCCTATGGCCGACTCCCCTGCTCATCCAACAGACCCTCCAACACCAGGCCTGTGTAGCATCGCTCCCTCGGCTGGCAGGGGATCCTGCTAGCTGTCATCTCCTCCAGGAAGTCTCCATAAAGCCCATCTGTGCCCCCCGGGAATCCCCATCAACAGTGAGCACTCTAGGCTAGGTCTGTTGGAAAACCGGTCCCACAGAGGCCCAGGCAGGTCTGTTTCCTTGCAGGGTCCAAGGTCAGGGTGGTGCTGGAGGAGCCCATGGCCTTACATCCTGCCCCCAGCCCCAGGATCGTCCTCCCACCAGTCTGGCGACCCCAGGGTCCCAGGAGGCTGGGCAGAGAGCACCAGACTATATCCCAGCCCTGCTCTTGATCTTAAACAAGTCCCTGAGGTCTCGGGCCCACGCTGTGGTGAGCATCACAGGAGATGCATAGCCGGGGGCCCCAGACCAGGAGAGAGTTGCCATCCTAGCTGGCATTTGGCCAACTTTCAGGGGGTGGCGGAGGCCTCACCCAGGAAGGAGCTGGGCTTGTCCAGGGAACCACGGGACGACCCGAAGCTGTCAAGGGCGTCCAATCGGGTCTCCGAATATGGCAGCAGGTCCAGGGAGTCCAGCCCCGAGCCTGGGGGCTCCAGGGCATCCAGCATGGAGGCTGCCAGCTTCTTGGAGGGGTCCACGACGAGGCCGAAGGAGGCAGGGGGCAGCGGGCTGGACACAGGGATGGAGCCCCCCACCACGGGGGGCAGCAGCGGGGTCCCACCGGGGAACACGGGGATCAGCTGGGGCAGCTCGCTGGGCACACCGCCGCCAGGCAGGCCACCCTGCACCAGGGACTGCGAGGTGGGAACAGAGGGAGGGGTTGGAGGAGAACATGAGTGAGGACCTGAGTGCCCAGGCCTGTTCCACAGGGTGGAGCCAGGTGCCTTCCGTCTGCTTCCTGGACGCATGTTCTGTGCTTTTCATGTTCCATCCAGCTCAAGCTGCCCCCCCTGAGGCCTCAGTGTCCCCACTGCGACACAGGTGCGGGGCCTCCCCTGCACCTCACCTGGGACGTGAGGATGTGACGGGGCCCCAGCGGGATGTGACGGGGTCCCAGCGGGGTGTGACGGGGTCCCAGCGGGGAGGGGACGAGGGGCTCCAGGAACAGGAGGGGACGAGGGGCTCCAGGAACAGGAGGGGACAGCCCTGCTCACCAGAGAGTCCAGGAGCGTGTCCAGCTCCGGGCCAAAGACGTCCCCGTCGGAGAAGTCGTCCAGGCCCTCGGTGCCGGGCAGGGCCCTGCTGCTGCTGTCCAGCGGGGCCAGCAGGCCCAGGACGCGAGGGAAGAGGGGCATCGTGGGGGTGGAGGGGAGGGGGGCCGGGGAGCCTCGCAGGTCCACGTGGCAGTCTGTAGATGGGGGTGGGCTCAGTGGCTGCAGGGGGTCCCATCTGGTGGGGTGGGCTCAGTAGCTGCAGGGGGTCCCATCTGGCGGGAATGGGGGAGCTGGCCTGGGACCCGGGGCTCCTCACCCACCACCTGTCCTCCTCTCCTGCCTCCCCGGAGCCTGGAGCCCTGCCTGCCCTACGGCCTGACCCCATGGGGAGGCTCAGCTGGAGTGAAGGCAGGCCCCGCGGGCCAGGGGAGGGGCCTTCAGTCTGCAGCGTCTCCAGACGGGCCAGGTCAGTACGCACCTCTGGGGTATGCTACGCCCCCTCTCAAGGACAGTATGTAACCGTGACCCCCTCCTGGAAGCCAGTGAGGAAGAGAAAAGGAGAGGAGGACTTCAAGAAAGGTGGGCCCCCAGCTGAGTCCCATGGAGGTGGCCCCGTACCTCCCAGGCTGGAGACTTGCCCTGCAGTGGAGTCTGTTTTCCTGCACCCACTCTTTTCTTCCATGCTTCAGGCAGTCCCCAGAGCAGGGAGCCCCCAGAAGCCCTGTCTGCAGGGCCAGGGATCTGCAGGGGCTTGACCCAGCTGACCTCCTGGGGTCGTGGGCGGGGAGGGGCTGAGTTCTCCCCAGGGCGCCTGTCCACCCCGTCATCTGGCATCAGGGACACTACCTGTTTCGATGTCATCTATGGACCCCAATCCATTGGAAGTTCCCTGGAGAAAAGGGGGATGGGGCGGGTCAGACAGACATGGGCTGGGAGGGCCCCTGCCCTGAGTGACCACCGCTGGTGTTAACACCAGGCCGGCTGGGCAGGGCCTCGTGTCTGCCTCTCTCCAGTGTCCTCAGGGGGAGGACCGCCGAGCCAGCTCCTTGCCCGTCACAGGGGGGTGTTTTACCAAGCCCTCCATGTTCATGCCAGCTGTGGACAGGTCACAGCTCAAAGCCAAAAGCACCAGTCTCCTGATTGACCAGTGTCCCCTCGCCCAGTTATAGCCCAGGCCCAACCGGGCCAGGTGGGACTGCCCTGCCACCTGCAGACCTCCCACTGGAGGAAAAGCTGGGCCCAAGCTGCCCTGTGGGCTTGGCCAAGTCCCCCACCCTCTCGGGGCCACCTTCCTCATCTGTAAAGTGAGGACAGCACAGTCACCCTCCTCCCTGGGCTGTTAAAAGGATGAGATCACTTGACGTTTGTACAGAGCTTAGAACAGAGCCCGACACACAGGAAGTGCTGCATGTGTCTGTCGAATGTGAAACATCAACTTTTAAATCCAGGCCACCAGAAGGTTGGCCTGGGGAAGCTGGCGTTCTCGTCCACCGGCCTCCATGACTGGCCCAAGCGGACTCGCCTGGCTCGTGTCCAGCTCCGGGCCGTGGCCTGCCTTTCCCCACCTGCCTCCAGGCCCTCAAGGGAGCAGCTCCCTCCTCTCCACCTGCCCACATCCCGCAACCTGGCTGCTCTGTGAAGTCCAAGGTGAGCAGGAGGCCAAGGCTGCCTCAGGCTCTGTCTGGTCCTGGATCTCACAGTCCTCCTTGCGTCTGGCTCCCCATGCTGCCAAGAGTGCCCCGGGGCTACGCTGTCTCCAGAGCACGGGGAGTGCCCTGTGGGCACAGCTCGTGCCATCTCTGCTCCCAGGCACGTGGGGAATGACTGCCTGGCTGGCACCTCCACACCAGAGAATCTGGTGGGGAGCCCAGCGGCCAGGCTCAGATGCAGCATCTGAGTGGGACCTCCAGAAGGTCAAGGTCAAGGGATCCGGCTGGGACTCTCCCCCTGTTTTCCTGTCCCACGTGTGTCCGCAGGCCACTGTGTGGGGGGTGGTATGTGGTTGTGGGAGTGTGTGGTGGATGTGGGGGTGTGTGTGCACATGTGTACGCACACATGGCACCATGCTAGCACCGTGAGGCAGGGTCTGACCTGGTCCTCTCCACCGTGGAGTCCTCTCTGCCTAGGCTTCTTAAAGACTCCCATCCCTGTGACCAACATGTAGTGGGGGATCCATAAGGTTGCAGGGATGGGTGGCTGGCTTGGCAGGGGCTGGGGTGCCCACTGCCCCACACAGCACCATTTGTGGCCCCCCGGCTGCAGACTCAGTGGACACCGAGGGTTGGCCCTCGTGGAGCTGGGCATCCCACCCATATTTGCTGTGTCCCTTTGGCCATGATCATTCAGTCATTCAACAAATGTCTTCTCAGCACCTGCTGCGCCTGCCCAGTGCTGCTCTGCCTGCTGTGATGAGCAGACACATCCCCTCATGGGCCCCGAGGACCTGCAGGGGCTCCCCAACCCTGCCCTGGAAAGACGCATGAGGCCCAGCCCTACCCCGGGGAACTGCACTCCCTTATGCCAGCCACACACCCACCCGGGGACTTGGGCACCAGTGTCTTCTCCATTTTACAGAGGGAACTTAAGGCCAGGACATGATGCCATTTCCTCTAGGTCATGCCACCAGTGACAGCATGAGACCCTCCAGTCTCCAAAACTACGAGTAATAAGTTTCTTATTTGTAAGTCACCCAGTACATGGCCTTTTGTAGCCATACCATGTGGCATGTAGGATCTTAGTTCCCTGACCAGGGATGGAACCTAGGGCCCCAGCAATAAGACTGCTAAGTCCTAGCCAGCGGATCACCAGGAAATTCCCAGCATTCTGTTACAGCGGCCTGAACAGACTAGGACATTCCCTTAATTTAATTGTTTTTAAGGACCCAGTATGCACCAGGCCTAGCAATTGTGATTGCAGACCATCCCGAGTGCTACACAGGCAGGTCCGCATGTGCCTTGCTTGCAGCCTGGCAGGCCCCCAAGGGCGAGGACACGCCTGACTCAGCTCTGGCCCAGCGGCAGTCCAGGGCCCAGAAGGGGTTCCCTGGGAGTCTGTGGAGTGAATGAATGAATGAGCTGTCCTAATGTGTGACGCTGGCCAAGTCCCCTCATCACTCTTGTGCTCACTTTCCCCCTTGTGTACAACAAGCAGGCGGGACGCCAGCCACGGTCAGCTCTTACAGCCCGTCCCCCGCCCCAAGCCCTCCTGAGCAGTTCCTGTGTGGTGGGTGGTGGGGGGTCTGATGTGTGCAGGGCCCTACCATGCCCCCTAGACAAGGCCTGGTGTCTGATCTCAACTGCCTTTCTTTCTCAGTCCTACTCCCACTCTTCCTGTTGCCATTGGCTCCTTTCTCGGGGTCCACGAGTGAGGGTACCCCCGATGGTCCTCCTGCAGTGACCTAAACCTGACTCTAATGTGCAGGGACCACTCGCAGCACCCCAGCCACACTCCGTCCCCCTACTCTGCCCCTGTGGTCCCAGGAGGCCCCTCCTGGAAGGGGGAGGTGCTCTGAGTCTCTGGGCTGCTCTCAAGAGCCTGGTTCAGGCCCAAGCTCTCATTACCCCTCTTCAAGAGGCAGGAGACTGGCGGCAGCATGAGAATGGGGACAGATTGAGCCCAACCCTTCAGTGTGATGCCTCTGGCTCTGCTGCTTGAGGTCATTTATATCCGAGAACAAACCCAAAGCTCTTATGATGGATGAACCAAGATAGGCTGGTCCTGGGCAGGGGGTGGGGCGAGGGGCGGTGGTACAGGTTGGGGGGATCTGCTCAGGGTCCTGCCCCATCCTACCTGATCTGCCACACCAGCCGCAGTGCCATTACTGAGCAGAGAAAAGGTTTCCAATTCCTGCCAGAGATTGGAGAGAGATGGGAAGAGATGGTGATTCTGCAAAGGTGCCCAGGGTCCCACCAGCTGGGGCTACAAAGGAGCCCCAGCCAGGCAGGTGGGGTCTGCGGTGCCTCCCCAAGCTCCCTGCCCCCAGGCTTGCAGGGAGTCACCTGCCCTGTCTCTCTGAGTCCCATTTGGGGGTTTTCTTCCTGCAACCACGACCAGGGCAGAGGACTTCTAGGTACACACTTCTGTGGGTGCCCAGCACAGTCTCAAACACTCTCTCCCTGTGATCCTCCCATGAGCCCTCTATTGTTGTTGTTGTTTACTTGCTAAGTCGTGTCTGACTCTTTGTGACCGCATGGACTGCAGCACACCAGGCTTCCCTGCCCTTCACTATCTCCCAGAGTTTGCTCAAACTTGAGTCCAATGAGTTGGTAATGCCATCCAACCATCTCATTCTCTGTCACCCTCTTCTCCTCCTGCCCCCAATCTCTCCCAGCATCGGGGTCTTTCCAAGGAGTTGGTGCTTCGCATCAGGTGGCCAAAGTTCTGGAGTCAGCTTCAGCATCACTGAGCCCTCTGAGAGGGGACACGATTATCCCCACATCCCAGATGTGGAAAAGGGGGAGAGAGGAACTAACTTGCTCCAGATCACAGCAGAGACTCTAGAGCTGTACCCTCTGCTGCAGGTGGTTTCCTGGCCCAAAGTAGGAGCCAAATGAACACACGTGGATGTGAACGAGCCAAACAGATACTGACAATTCAAACATGCACCACAAGGGGGTTATCTGAGAACAGGTGGCTGAAGGACGCCAGTGTCAACTGAGGCCATCTCTGGGGGGTTAAGGTCGGCCAGGGCAGGGGACGGAGTGGGCTTTAACAGCTGGTGTCTAAGACGAGCTAGGAGCTTTGGCTGTTCTTTCCTCTTCCAAGAGGCTCTGGAAGTTGTCCCAGGGCTTTCAGCCAACAGACAGGGAAGATCACCTGCTGTCACCCTCTCTGTCCTGGCCTGGCCCCAGCCCCCCTCACCTATGTCTCTCAAAGGTGCCTGGCCCCTCTCTACACGTCTCCCCAACCCCAGCCCCACCCAAGCCCCAGTGCCCAGGGCCCACCTACCTGGGGCCTCTTATATGCCTTCCGAACTCGAAGCCCAAGCTTCTGAGCCAGCTCCTGACCAAGCTGAGTTACACTTTCATCCTGAGAAGGCAAGACACAGGGTAAGGGTGGGTTAGTTTGCTCTGACTTGCAAAGTTGTGCTCCAAATGCTTGTGCAGCCCAGCAAGGGGGGACAGGGTGCCCATTATCCAAGGTTATGGATAAGGAAGCGAGATCCTGGGAGGGGACGCTAGCTGCCCAGGTCACATGGCCAGTGCGTGGGGGGCTGGGGCCAGGAACCCATGCTTCTACTGTTCCCTTTATTGTGGGGAGTAGAAAGGAATACGTTTTGGGTTTCATTTCAATATTATCTTTTTGTTTCCACAATTCATCAAGTAATAGTCACTGCAGAAAGCAGAAATGTCAGAGAAGGAGCAAGGACTCCCCTGGACCATCACCCTAGACCCCCCCCCCACCCAGAGGGAGCTTACCCAACAAGGATGCTATGCGTCCCTACAGATCTCAGCTAGAGACTCACACACACGTGGATGACAAAGGATGTTTGGTTTCACTCTGTGGGGATTTTCTCTTTCTTTTTGTATATAAGTGAGATTATATTATACCTATTGCTTGTTCTACAACGGGCTTCTTTTATCAAACAGTGTCTTGGAACTCTCTGCAAGTAAGGACAAACAGATGGAGCACGGGCACCAAGGAATGAGGCTGGGTGAAGTCTACAAGGCGCCTGGCCCACGGTTGTGCTCAGTAATGACACCCAGCACTCCTTCCACCCTCCCAGTCTGTACCACCGTCTGTGTGCCAGGCACAAGCTGGAGGCCAGGGACACCAGTCACAGAGCAGGCGGGGCCCAGGCCTCCCAGAGGCTCCAGTCCAGTGGGGAGACCAGTCAGGAAACAGAGAAACAGCGACTGCAGTCCTGGCTTCAGACGGGCAGTGGGGATGCTGTGCGTCCCCCACCCTCCCACCTCACTGACAACTCCTGGAGCCCAGGGTCTGGGTCACCTCTGGTCCTGACGCCCAGCGCAGAGCAGGGCCTGGTCAGTGTTTGCCCGGGAACACGGGGGAATTCTCTGACTCAAAGGCAGAAGTCCCTGTGTGGGTACGTCCCTCCGGGGAGCTACCAGCCCTCAAAGGTCTGGCTCCCTGGCCTGTACAGCCAGGTGAGAGCCACCCTCTCCTCTTGTAAGAGCGCAGGCCCGGGACCCAGATGTGGACCTGCTGCAGATGCTGAAGAACTCGGTGGAGGTCGGGGACTAGGTCATAAGAGAGCTTCTCAATGGTAGAGTAAACTGAATCGGAGAAGCAAGAATAATAAACAGAAGGTGTAACAGCAGTGAATGTTCTGAACTCTTACTGTGTCCAGCCACTGTGCCCAAGGCCTGCATGACTTTCTGATTCCATCCTCAGCACGGCCCCATGGTGCATGGTATACCATCACCCCCGCCTCATGTCATCGCCCCCACTTTACAGGGATACAAACCAAGACTCAGAGAGGCTAAGCCCTGTGTCCAATGGCACAGAGCTTGTAGATAGGAGACCCAAGATTAGAACCCAAACCCAGACCAGTTCTCTGGCGCTGACATTCCTGATCACCCTGCCTATAGCCTCGTCTCTGCTCTGCGCACTCAAATCTTTCTTGCTTCTTCCAGCCTCAATCAAGCCCTGCCTCCTCCAGGGAGCCCTCCAGGATCTTGACCACTCCTGAGAGCTCTCTCAGTCCTTCCTGGGCAGCTTTTACCCTTTTCCAAGCCCTTTCACACCCGCGGTTCCAGAGACAAAATGGGAAGGGCACTATGTGGACAAGGAGCTGAACTGCAGAGAGGGGAGGAGGGGCTTTGCCAGGATCATGGCTCCGTGCAGCCAGGCCTAGACCTCAGGGCTGTCTCCACGTGTCTCCCTCCAGACCGTGGGTCCCTGAAAGGCACAGATCTGGACACTCTGTGGGCGCTTCGTAAACATTTGTTAAGTTGATAGATAAATGGGGAGGGGACATGTGCCTAGCTGTGCATGAGCTGGGGCAAGCAAGACTGGATTTTCCCGTTGACCTTCCCCATCTAATGATACCCTGGACGTCAGGATCCCGCACACATGGCACCCCATTAGGTGCTCCCTGCAGCCCTGGACTCTCAGAGACCGGTGGAGATTAACAGTCAGATTGCTCAGGGTTCCCTGGTAGCTCAGTGCCAATGCAGGAGATGTGGGTTCAATCCCTGATCCGGGAAGATCCGACATGCCCTGGGGCAGCTAAGCCCACGAGCCACGACTACTGAGCCTGTGTTCTAGAGCCTGTGCTCCCAACTTGAGTTGCCGCAACTAGAGAAAGCCTACTCAGCAGCGAAGACCCAGCACAGCCAAAAACAAATAAAAGTGAAAGTGAAAGTCGCTCAGTCCCGTCCGAGTCTTTGCGACCTCAGGGACTCTACAGTCCATGGAGTTCTCCAGGCCATAATACTGGAGTGGTTGCCGTTCCCTTCTCCAGGGGATCCTCCCAACCCAGGGATTGAACCCAGGTCTCCAGCATTGCAGGCGGATTCTTTCCCAGCTGAGCCACAAGGGAAGCCTCCCAAAATTACATATATATATATATATATATACACAAAAGAAATCAGACTACTGGGTTCAAGTCTTGACCCTCCCACCCCTCACTGGGATCTTCAGTAAGTTCCCTCCTCTCCATGCCTCTGTCTCCTCATCTTTAAAATGGGGATAATGATAGTGTCTATCTCACAGGACTCTCTCAAGGGTTAGGTAAGTTAATACAAGGTATATGTTTAGCAGTGCCTGGTGTTAATATCAGCATCTCAGCGGAGGAAAGCAAGGCTCAGAGGGGTGAGGCGCTTGGGCCCAGAGAGGACGGCGAGCCTGGCCTCCGCGAGCGAGGCGGCACTCACGTGGGGCAGGGCCAGGGAGCAGCGGCTGCTGCACGCGTAGGCCTCCTTGTGGCGCCCCAGCTCGGTCAGGGCCCGTGCCTTGCGGAACAGCGCCCGGATGTTCTCGCTGTCCAAGCCCAGCGCCTTCTCGCTGTCCTCCAGCGCCTTCTCGTACAGGCCCTGCCAGAGAGGAGCAGAGGGCTGCCCATCAGCCTGACACCCTCCCTCCCCCAGCCTCCTGCCTGCACCGGGACAGAGGACCAACCTCCTCCCTTCCTCGCAGACGGGGCGGGGGCGAGGGCTCCAGGAAACAGCGCTGGTGTTCAGTCCCAATCAAGGGCGTTTGTGTGTCCAGCCAAGGAGCACTGGCAGGACATGGAGGGGAAGGGCCTTCGAATTCTACAGTCATGAGCCCGGCCACTCAGAAGATCACGGACTGTGAATAACAAAGCCATCTCCAGAGGAGGCAACACCAAGAAGGCAGCTCAGCACACAGAACATGTGAACAGACATCTGGTAGACCCGTTCATCCAGACCCGACTCCCCTGACCATAACCCTTGGCAGAGCCCACTGCAGAGCCCCATAGGCTCTGGGGAATGACTGAAGCCCTGAGCGAGGACAGGGAAGAGGAGAAGGCTGGAGCTGCAAGAATGAGGGAAAGGCAGAACCTGAAGTCTGGAGAAAGGAGGAAGGTAGGGAAGGATGAGGAGGGGGTTTGCAGAAAGAGACGGTGATAAGGGCAGCAGTCCTCAGCCCTGATGGCCCAGACTCCTGCCAGGGCCCAGGCCGTCCCCCAGAAACCTAACAACTCATCTGGGGCAGGGCTTGGGCTCCATATCATGACAACACTTTTTATTATGTATTAGTCCTTTAAAAGCTCTCCAGGTGAGTCCACTGTGCGCTAGGGTTGAGAGCCCTGGGAGCAGAGGGCGGGGGCGAGGGACATGAAGGCGGAGGGGGCATGGGGGTGTCTGGGTGGGACCAGGAGGTGTGGGGAGCTCACCATGGTGAAGTAGCAGGCTGCCCGGTTGACGTGGAGCTTACACAGCAGTTCCCGGGGCAGGGCCACCTGGTCGGAGGCAGCGTAGTCGGCCACGTTCAGCCCCTCCATGTACTGCACCAGCGCCTGCTTGTAGTCCTTCTCCCGGAACAGGTCATTGCCCTCAGCGAACAGGTTCTGCACCAGCTTGAGCAGAAAGGCCTGCCGGGGCAGGGTGTGAGGATGGGGGTGCTCAGGGGGTCTTTTGCACCCAGCTCTGGCCCTGCCACCCAAGCCCCGTGCCCCCCATCAGGGACACCCTGCCCTTTGCCTGCCCCCAGCCCAGCCCCTGATGCTCACCTCATATTCTTCTTGCTTTAAGGGTAGGGTCGACCTACGGGAAAAGGAGAAGGACACAAGGTCTGGTTGGGCCCAGGGTTCTCAGCCTCCCGGAGGCCCAGGAGCCAGAGCCACAGGTTAGACACTGTGCCTGGGAGCTGGTTCCCCCAGCTCAGACCTCAGACATCACCTTGTGGATTGGGATGAGGGGACAGCAGTTTTGTTTTTTTTCCCCTAAATCAACACCATGCTGGCCCTCTCTTTCCTACAAAAGGATGGTGGAAGGTCCTGCTTTTGCCCCAGGGCCCGGCAGCCAGGCTTTCCCAGGTGCTGCTGTTGTTGTTCCATTGCTAAGTCATGTCCGACTCTTTGGTAACCCCATGGACTGTAGCACACCAGGCTTCTCTGTCGCCCTCTATATCCCAGCATTTGCTCAAATTCATGTCCATTGAGTCGATGATGCTATCTAACCATCTCATCTGCTGCCACCCGCTTCTCCTGTTGCCTTCACTCTTTCTCAGCATCAGGGTCTTTCCCAATGAGTCGACTCTTCGCATCAGGTGGCCAAAGTATTGGAGTTTCGGCTTCAGCATCCGTCCTTCCAATGAATATTCAGGGTTGATTTTCTTTAGGATTGACTGGCTGGATCTCCTTGCAGTCACAAAAGTCTTCTTCAGCACCACAATCTGAAAGCATCAATTCTTCAGCGCTCAGCCTTCTTTATGGTCCAATTCTCACATCCACACATGACTACTGGAAAAACTATAACTTTGACTGTACAGACCTTTCCGGATGCACATTTCTGAGAAGGAGCTCTGGCTGGCTGTCCTCTGCCTAAGAAACCAGTCCCTGGAAATGGTCCCTGGGGCCATGTCCCTCCAAACCAAACTTGCAACTTCAGATTCACAGGCAGCACCCAAAGTCTACCTGGGGGCCATTTGTTTGGGAGTCTCTGCACTTTTTCTGTCCCTGCCCACGAGACACACATAACCCCAGCCAATGCCCAGCATGTAGAACCTAACTCTTCCTGACAGACTCAGCAAAGTAAGTGGGTCCTTAGGCACCCTCTCCGGTCTGTGAGCCGCGGAAACAATGCCAGTTCAGAACAGCTGAGCCCAGAAGAAAGTGCGAAAGAAAGGAAGGGCAGGGAAGGGCCCTCAGGGAGAAAGGAGAAAGAAAGCATGAGCCCAAGGCACATTTGTGAGGCTACAAGGCAGCACTGGAAGGGAAGCTGCGGTTTGTCTTCTGGTCTCTCATGTCACAGAGGGGAAATCAGACTTTCAGAGAGGGGCAGTGACAGGCCCGAGGTCACACAGCAGGTCCAAGCCAGGGCCAGAGAGCGAGGCTGGGGCTCGCTGTATTGCCTGGAGCCGCTGTGAATACCCGGGCAAAAAAGAACAGCTTAGGGACTTTCCTGGTGGCTCAGACGGTAAAGAATCCGCCTGCCGATGTAGGAGATGTGGGTTCGAACCCTGGGTCGGGAAGATCGCCTGGAGAAGGAAATGGCAACCCACTCCAGTATTCTTGCCTAGAGAAATCCATGGACAGAGAAGCCTGGTGGTCTACAGTCATGGGGTCGCAAAGAGTTGGACACGACTGAGGGACTAACCCAGGGACCTCCTTGGTAGTCCAGTGGTTAAGACTCTGTGTTTCCAATGCAGGGGGCAGGGGTTCAATTCCTGGTTAGGCAAGTAAGATCTCATATGTCATGGAGCAGTCAAAAAAAAAAGGCAGCCTAAGCTGGTGAGTGACAAGTGGTGAGCAGAGACCCCGGCGGTCCCCTGTGCGGAGGGGGAGGTGTCCCTGACGGTGACAGTGGGGCCGGCCACCCACCCTCCCACTCGCCACCCAGCATCAGAAACCAGGGCCTGTCCCTCCTCGCTCAGCCCTGGCCGCCCGGCACTCTCCTCCTAACTCATCTTCCACCTCCAGCCTCAGCTTCATCTTCAATAGGTCACACCCTGTCCTCAAGGTCACCTTATCCTGGTGTTTAAGGCTCTGCACAAGCCCGTCACCCACCTGTCCGCATCACTTCACGGCTCCTGCGGTGCTCGGCGCCCAGCTAAGCACCCAAAGTCGGCACATGAGGCAACGGCCATTTCTAAAGGAGCAGGCCTGGCTGTGCGTCCTGCAGGCTCTCAGGAGACCAACGTGTGGCTTCCTGGGAGGGTGTCCCACCGCTAAACCTCCTCAGAGCTTCCCTCTGGGAAGGGGGAGGAGGACACACAGCCAACATTCACCCCCAAGCGCAACGGCCCAGAGCGGGCAGGGGCATTCTCTCTGTTTCGCAGACACTGTGACTACAGGACGCAGGGGCACCGGGATGGGGGTTGAAACCTGGGGCTTGGAGGTCCGGTTCCACAGAAAGCAGTGACTAGAAGACAGATTCTTACGACACTCAGGATTCCCAAGGCCTGCCTTGCTCTCCAGAATGGCCTCTGAGCAAAACTGGGGCATTTGACCAAGATCAACGCACTCCCCCAGATGGAAGATGTGCCCCCTGTGAAAAAGGGTGAGGCCACAGCTCTGAGCTGGCAGAAGCCAGGAAAAGTGGCCGTTTTGCAAGTTGAGGAAGGAGAACATGTTGTGAGAATATAAACACACAGCAGATCATGTGTGTATGTGTCTGTGTGTGGAAAAACACCCAGCCCGTGCTGAAAAGGCAGGTCGCGTTTTGCAGGTCTGCGTGAGCACAAAATCAGGGAGTATATAAGGGTTTGTGGGGCGTTTCCGGTGGCTCAGTGGTAAAGAATCTGCCTGCAGTGCAGGACACACAGGAGACACGAGTTTGATCCCTGGGTCAGGAAGCTCCTCTGGAAGAAGAAATGGCAACCCGTTCCAGTATTCTTGCCTGGAAAATTCCATGGACAGAGGAACCTGGTAGACTAACAGTCCACGGGGTCGCAAGAGTCGGACACAACTGAGCTACTAAACAACAACAGCAATGAGGGTTTGTATGTGTAAACTCCAGTTTTGTAGGGAGTCATGTTTAAGAACACAAAATGAGAAACAAAGAATTGCTAGACAGTCTTTCAGGGTTTTGGAAAGAACTCTTGCAAATGAGGGGCTGGAGCTTACGCTTCATCAGAGTCACAATAAACGTGCCTGTGAGGGTCCATTTCAGAGAGAGAAAAGAGTTAATAAGAATATTTTGTGTGTAAAGAAAAAGATGAAAAAACCAACACAGCTTATGGGTACCAGCGGCAAATAATGGAAAGAAATTTGGGTTTTGGAGTCCACGAGACCCAGGTTAGAACTCCGTCGCTTAGTAGCTATGTGACTGTAAACCAGTTTCTTAACCTCTCTGAGCCTCAGCTTTCTCATCTGCAAAATGGAGATAAAACCACCTGCTTAACTGAACCATTGTGAAGATGAGAGAGACGACAGATGTAAAGGGCCCAGCATGGAATGGAAAGACGTGCTCAGCAAGCAAAGATAACTGACTTATTATGGGATGTACACAGACAAGCAAGAGAATTAACAGGGAGTGTAGGAGCATGCGTGGAGGGGGAAGGTAAAATGATATGCTGGATGAGACCAGAGGGTGGCCAGGGTCATGTCAGGAAGTGTGTGTGTGCCTGGAGATCACGGCTCAGGGTTAGAAGCACCCCTGGCCCCTGCCCCGCCAGCCCTTCCTTCTCACTCCCAACACACAGGGCAGCCTGAACAGCAAAAGCTCAGTAAGTGAGAAAAGGGAACCCTGGAGAAGACATGCTCTGGGATGTCCCAGAGGACTGCACCCTGCCACCCCCCGACCCCCGCCGCCCCAAACACACACTCACTGAATGAACTGCAGCCCCTTCTCGATGTCCGCCTTCCGCCTCTGCCTCTCCATCAGTCTCTGCGGAGAGAACGCCATCCATCAGGAAGTCAGTGGGGCCGTTCGCCGTCCACACCCACCTCCCTACCATGTGCTCCCTCACTCCCTGCTCACCCCATCTCACAGGGTGTCGGGGTGTCCCTGAGGGCGGTGACCCATCTCGGGGCCCACACAGACCTCCAGCACACAGCTCTCCCTCCACACCTGCAACCCCACTGGACCCTAAGTTTGGACAGCATCTTCGATGGGCAGGGGGGTTCGTGAAGGCCACCTGCCCTTCCCCACACATGGCTGGGGCTGCCAAACTGCACAGGACACCCTCAAGTTCAAGGGAAAAGTCTTGCTTTACCAGCAAGCACAGTTTAGGGAGAAGAAACACAGAAAATGCCAGCATGGCCCTGACTATAGCTACAATGCAGCATCACACGTGGGCCAGGCACTCTGTATCAGGCTCTCACTGACGCTGCCAGGAGGTAGGTATCTATTTTTTTTTTTTTTTGCAGTATCATGTGCCATATGGGATCTTAGTTCCCTGACCAGGGATCGAACTTATGCCCCCTGCATTGGAAGTACGGAGTCTTAACCACCGGACCACTAGGGAAGTCTCGAGGTGGGTGTCATTTTGTCCCCTTTTACCAGGAAACTGAAGCTCAGGGAGCCCCCATCATAAGCTGGCTGGCCTCCACCACACCAGGCCGTGGTGGCCTGGTACCCGCACCATCTTGGCAAGGTGGCGTGAATTCCCCACATTATGGCTGAGAGGAGACCGAGGCTCAGGGAGGCTGAGGGGTGGCCCGAGGCCGCACAGCAAGTGAATGGCGCTGAATTCGTGCAGGGATCTGCTCCAGAGATGAAGAGAGCGACAACGGAAGGTGGGGGTGCTTCAGGAGAAGGGAGGTGCAGGCAGAGCAGCTAGGGGTCTGGTACCTTTAGGGTGAGGCCCCCCCAACCCCTGGGAGCTGGAAGCTCCTGGCCAGATCCAAACAGCCCGCTGGGCTGCCAGGTTCCTCCTCCATGCCACCTCGGAGCTCAGCTGATCCCGCCCAGTGACAACCCCGAGGGGGCCGGGCCTACCCCAGGTAGAGATGGAGTCTGGGGCACTCACGGCCCCGCTGGCCAGCACTTTCCACCCCAGCCACTCCCAGGCTCTTTCCAGGTTCTGCCCATCAAACTATTACTGTGAGAGGATTCAGGCAAGGCTGGGGGATGGGACAGCCGGAGACTGCTGGACCCCTCCGGCTTCATATCTCAGCCCTGCACAACATCTGCAGAGGGCTGATATGCAGCCACAGGGAGAGGGTCCTCACTGCCTCACTGGCAAAGAGGTCCAAGAAAGTATAAAAAACACCTAACTACTTTGGAGAGGCAGCAAGTGTACCAAATTGATACTTTGTAAAAATTCTCTGCTTCCTTGTTCTTTATTCCCCATCCTGGGTTTGACCACCTTGTCCTCACATAAGGTAAGCGGGCAGGGGTCACTATCCCCATTTTCCAGATGAGAAAAATGGGACACAAAGAAATGAAGTCTCTTTCCCAAGGTCACTCACTTAACCAGCGAGCGGGCAAACCAGGCTGGAACCCAGCTCGTCAGAGGCCACAGCCCTCGCCACACCCCGAGCCGTGAGATGCCGTGAGGCCCAGGTCAGGCAGGGCGGCCCTGAGGCTCCAAGGAGAGGGGTGGGAGTATTAAGAGCGAGGGGCTCAGCCCATGGGAACCTCGTTCCTCCTGCCGGTCCTTCCCAGGAGGGCTGGAGCCACGCCGCATCTTCAGGCTCCCAGAGCAGCACTGCTCTCACCCGTTCCCCACCCCAGGCAGGACCGGGGCCACGGGCAAGCATTCACTATGCGTCTGCTGGCCCTGCCAGGGCCTTGGGCCAGCACTCTGGACTCAGATCCAGGTATGAGGGCCAGCATTTGCACACCACGTGACTCTGGATCTTGGTCATGTGCCTGACGGCTGGGAAAAGTGGGGCTGATGGTGCTCCCGACGCGCTGGCTGTCATGGGTTCAGAAGATGTCACATGCGGAAGGCCTGGCTCGGAACGACAGTCCAACAGCCCTGCGAGTGTGCGCCATCCACTCCCTCTTGCCAAAGACGCTGCACGTGTTTGCTGGGACGGACCCAACCGCTGAGACCCTGTTCTCCTGCGGGAGGCGGGCAGCAGTGGCCCCAGGCTGCCCGCGCCTCCCCGAGCCGGCCTCCTGGTCGGCCTCCTGGCCCTCGGCATCTCTGTCTGTGATACAAGCGCTCATCCTCCTTAACACACATGCCCCACATCAGGGCTCCAGCCAGACGGCCTGGGGGGTTTCCCGCCTCCAGGCTTTTGCCTTTGCTGTTCCTTCCGCCTATGCTGCCATGCTTCTCCATCCATCCTTGTTAATGAAACTCCATCCATCCTTCCAAGCCCGGTTCCTCCCTGGAGCCACTCCTACTTTCTCCAACGGCACCATCACACACTCAGTTACCCTGTTTCCTGGGAGCCTGGGGTCAGACCCTACCTTGCCCTGGAAGAGAGGCTCATTGGGTGGAAAGACAAGAGCTCAGCCCAGCGCTGGCCAGGGAGCTGGGGGAGAGTGCGGGGTGGGAGGGAAGAAGGACCCGGCAGGCCTGGACCACCAGTAACCCAGGGTGTGGCCAGAGTGACTACCCCCAAAGCTGCCACGCACATGGCCACCACACCCATGTTCTCCCCACCCATCCCTCCCCACCACCTGGGGTGTTGTCTGCCCCCACTTCCTCAATGCCATCACAGGGGTCTCTCAAACCATAAATCAGACCCCATCCTCCCCAGCCGAGAGCCTCTCTTGACCTTTGCTGGTCAATTTCCCCATACCAGCGCACACCTCATGGGAACACATGCCCTATTGCTTCCCCACTCCGACCCCCCTGGGCCCCATTCAGCCCACGGTCTTCTCAGAAAACCTCGGGGGTCACAGATGCATCTCTGAGTCAGTTCTCTAGGCCCTGAGGTCTGAACAGACTTAACAGAAACAAATGCTGCCTCTAAGCATCCTGTGGTAATTCCTGACAAATCTGACCCTCATGCCAGGGAGTAAACATTCTCTTTATTCTCTGCCCCAGGCAGTATGAAGGCTCCGCAGCCAGTGGGCATGAATGTGTTTCTCTGACCACCAAAATCCCAAAGCAGCAGTGTAGCCACAGGCGTAGGCTATGCAGAGGTGTTCCGGTCCCCTCTGAGCGGCAGTTTCCTGCTGTGTAAATCGGAGATTACAACTAGTGCCCACCGACAGGATTTAATACATAGAAGGCACTCATTTCAGGTCCTGGTACACAGCAGACAATAAATGACGACTGTTAGATCAGAATTCCTATGCTGAATATTCAAGTCAACACGTGCTGCATGTCCATTATGTGCAGATGAGAAGAGGAGCTTTTGAAGAGCCACCAGCCACCTGTGATCAGCTGGAGAATTGCCATCCTGTTGCAGGCCTGTTGAGGATTCAGCAATGAACAAAGGTGACAAAGTCTCCCCTCATTTATAGAGCACATGTTCTGGGGGAGGAAGGACACAACATTTAGATTTAGGGGGCTTGGTGGTCCAGTGGCTAAGACTTCCAACGCAGGGGGCCTGGTTCAATCCCTGGTCAGGGAACTAGATCCCACATGCTACAGTGAAGATCGAAGATCCTGCGTGCCGTACGCAATGAAAGACTCAGTTCAGTTCAGTTCAGTCGCTCAGTCGTGTCCGACTCTTTGCGACCCCATGAATCGCAGCATGCCAGGCCTCCCTGTCCATCACAAACTCCCGGAGTTTACTGAAAGACTCGGTGCACCCAAATAAATTAGTAAATAAGTATTTTTTAAAAATCAAAGGAACAAATAGATTTAAATTGTAATAATGGACAGAATAAGGGGATAGGGTGACAGGATGCTATAATTCTATAGGGGACTCAGGAACAGAGACCTCAATGACCAGAGGATACAAATCATTGTGAATGTTTGGGGAAAAGTGCTGAGGCAAAAGCAACAGTGAGTGCAAAGGTCCTGAGATAGAGACTGGTTGGCATATTTGAGGAGGAACAGGAAGGCCAGTGTGGATGGACTGGAGTGGGTATTGGGGAGCATGGTGAGTAGGAAGGCTCTCCCCTACATGAAAACGTGTTGTCATTAAACAAATGAGATTTACTTAAATTTCACTACGACCCCATCAGGCAGGAAAATAGTGCTTCCAAGAGGCTAGGGAAGTTGTTCATGACCATGTAGGGATGGTGGAGCCTGGGTCAAAAGGCCTGGAGAGATGGTCCTCAGACAACCTCCATAACAAATGCCTGGTGAGCAAAGACATGCACTGCTCCCCCTCAGCCCCAGGAGGCACCGAACGCCCCACATGCCTCCCATTTCCTCAGCTTCCCTCCCCTGGGAAGAACATTTTTACAGGTGGTTGTTATGAATTAAATGTTTGTGTCCCCGGGCAAACGCATACATTGAAGCCCGAAGTGTGACTGTACTTGGAGATGCAGCCTCTGAGGAAGGAATTCAGGTTTCACGTGGTCACGAGCAGAGGGTTCTGATCCAGTGTTTTGTTCTGGTAGACTGTCTAGACGAATATAGATTTTGGTACTGTGAAGTGGGGTGTGGCTATAACAAACACTAAACATATGGACGTGGCTTTGGAGCCGGATGATGAGTAGAGACTGAAAAGGTTTTGAGGTACATGCTACAAAAACCCCTAGGCTGCCATGAAAGGACTGCTGGTAAAAATGTGTATCTGCTCAGTCACTCAGTTGTGTCCGACTCTTTACAACCCCATGGACTGTAGCCCACCAGGCTCCTCTGTCCATGGGATTCTCCACGCAAGAATACTGGAGTGGGTTGCCATGCCCTCTTCCAGGGGATCTTCCCGACCCAGGGATCGAACCATAGTCTCCTGCCTCTCCAGTGGTAAAAAACATGGACACTAAAGGTAATTCTGGTAAGATCTCAGGTGAAAATGAAGGGTAAGTTACCTGAAACTGAAGGAAAGGTGATCCTTGTTAAAAAGTGACAAAGTACTTGGCTG